TTGTTTGTATTTTGATTATTGTTGTTCTCGACAAACGAAAAGTAAACTTGCAAGTTTGTGGTTTTGCGCGTCAAATCCTTTGTGCCGAGTCCCTATGGAAATAGTGGAGAACTGGAAGAAATAGATCGCCATGACACATAGAATTCGAAAATCAGTACGCGAGAAGTACACGGATGACTTACTACTTCCGGCGAGATTCTGGAGTGCGCATCCCATGAACGCTGCGCCAATCCCATGATGCCTTGCAAGCGAACTCATGAATGGGAGTAAAGCGACGCAATTGACGCCGGTAGGTCATGTGACCATGACAAAATGGCAGATGTAGCACGTCCGAATTCCATTCATACTTTTTACATTCATACTGTACAGAACGTACTTTTCTAACGGCCGAGTAGTACGTTTAAATTCAAATGCAGTACCTACTGAGTAGTAGGCGGTTTCAGACGCAGCCCAAGTCTCTCCTCCCTCTTCAAAAGTCTCTGTTGTTGTCTTGACAACACAAACACTGCAGGCACCTCAACGGGAACCCCGCCTCTGCTTTCCTTTGATTGGAGAATGTAAAAGACGCGAGTGACGTAACACGCTTTTTCCGCTCAGAGTTTACTTTTTTTAACTGAGCGGGCAAAAACACGAGGCGCAGGAGGAGATTAAAATGCAGGGCGCATAAGCAGCCTGCAAAACGCTCGCGGCTGTTAGTAAACCATTCAAAAGTGGCGCCTCTACACCTCAGAAATAGGTGATAAATATATATCACAGGCAATATCTTTGTGTATGATATTAGCAAAGAAAATAATTTTACCAAATTGGAAGTCAGATTATGTGCCTGTCTTCGAAATTTGGGTTAGGAGCTTAAGTTACGTGTTGCCCATGGAGAAAATACGAAATGGGATTACAAACAAACTAAACACATTTTTAAAAATCTGGAGGCCAATTAAGTTTTATATCAGTAATGCTGACTTGAAACTCTATATAAGTGAGATTGATCTGGAGTAAGTCGAATTGTGGAGCCTACGCATTTCTCTGTAAATTAGTTTTGTTTCATATTTAATTCTATTTATTTCCTTATGCTTTCTGGATGATGTTTTTTTTTGTTGTGTCCGACTATTTGTGTATTTTGAAATGGCCTTTGTAACCCCCCTTTGTTTTTTATGTTGTTTTTTGACTGTTTATGTTCTTGATTATTTCTTATGCTAAAAACAATAAAAAAGATTATTAAAAAAAAAAAAAAAAAAAAAAAGAGGCGCCTCTCAACACATAAAGTGCGTTCGGTGTAATCGGCCCCTTAATCTGCAGATCCCATGTGTTCCGAATCGTGGGTTGTGCTTCGTACTAATTACAAATCAACTATGATCTGTTACACCCCTAATAGACACTGTCACTATGCTGACACACAGGCATGTGCAGCTCCGCCCTCTTTTGAAAAGAGCACCATCTCATTTGAATTTAAAGCGACAGTCACCAAAACGGCACAATTAGGATCAAAGCCTAAAAAGGGCAGTTTTAAAGCGTTATAAAACATTATTAGTGTCATGTTTTGAGCTGAAACTTCACACACACACACACACTTTAGGAACATCAGAGACTTCTTTTACATCTTATAAAAAGGTGCATGAAAGATCTCCTTTACTTATGGCTGCTTTAATTTCATTTCAGATCTGCTGACAATCATTGAAGTGGAGGACACCCCTCACCAATTCATAACCGGAGACACAAGTTCACAGACACACCTCAGGGATGAGTTCCCCTGCACTCACTGTGGGAAGAGTTTCAGCTGTACATCCAACCTCAACAGACACAAGAAAACCCACAGCGGAGAAAGACCCTTCACATGCGTGCAGTGCGGAAAGAGCTTCGCCCGTCGAGAGAACTTCTATAGACACAATCAAAGCCACATCGGAGAGAAATCCTTTGCATGCATGCAATGTGGGAAAAGCTTCGTGTTTGTGGACGCACTCAAAAAACACATGCGCTGTCACTCTGGCGACCGGCCGTATGAGTGCGAACAGTGCGGAAAAACATTCACTTTAATGTCCAGCCTGAAGAGACACATGATCATCCACACTGATTTAAAGCCGTACGCATGTTCTCAATGCGAAAGGAGTTTTTCCCGGCTGGACTGCTTGAAGAAACATCAGAAAACGCACACCGATGCCAGGCCTCATTTGTGTTTGCAGTGCGGCAGTGCTTTTAGTTCAGCCGACATTTTAAAACGGCACCACAGGATTCACACTGGAGAAAAGCCGTACTCCTGCTCCGAATGCGGGAAGAGTTTCACTCAGTCGGGACACTTGATGCAGCATGAAAGAGTGCATACCGGACGAAAACCCTATATCTGCTCCATTTGTGGACGGAGTTTTAGCACTGCAAGGAATCTGCCGGCGCACATTAAGAAACACCTCACAATGACAACCGGTGCTTTCGGAAATCTGATGTAATCGATTAATCGGATGAGCTTCGTTTCATTATTTGAAGATCTTGTGACTTAAAAAGTGCAGTGAAAGTGTGCTGCATATTGCCTAATTCAAATAAATATATCGAGAAAATCAAATAAATGTTATACAGACAGAAAGTGATGTGGTGGTATTTTTTTTACAGCTTGTCCATTGCTACAAATTATTCATTTATTCATTTTCTTGTCGGCTTAGTTCCTTTATTAATCTGGGGGCGCCACAGCGGAATGAACCGCCAACTTATCCAGCGTGTTTTTACGCAGCGGATGCCCTTACAGCCTCTGGGAAATGTTGTAAAAAAAAAATAAATGAGTGAAAAAGAAGAGAGAACCCAGTCCAGGAGACTCGGAACAAGCAGAATTCCTTTATTGAGACGTGTTGGTTAATCTGCAGTCATACAGCGTCTTCAAGATGTCCATGGGTCTGCAAGAGCCTACTAGAGGTCCGCAGTCTGCAAGTTCTTTCACAAGTCTCTCACAAGTCTCACACAAGTCTATGATATCATGGCTATATTGTGTTCTTAGGAGGAGGGGATTTGGCTAAACAAAGTATGCAAATTAAGAGTTGTGGTCGGCAGGGTAAACTGCTCTTTCAGGCATTGATCTCATCATGTTCTGGAGACAGAAACCGCCTGACCATTTGATCGAAAAGAGAAAACAATAGACACAACCATGCTGTGAAACTAACAATTTGCATTACTTTGGCTCAGCCTGTAATCAGTAAGACAAAGGTTAAATGACCCTCCTAGCTGGCATGTCAATGAAATAATATAATTAAAAACCAGAGAATATAACTTTTCAGTTATACGTAGATTATTGTTCATTTGGAATTAGATGATATAAATTTATATTTCCACAGAAACAACCACAAACACTCACTCACACAGCCTCAGATTGTTTTCTTTGCTATATTTATAGTTTTAAACAACATTGGGGGGGTGTCACGGTGGTGCAGTGGGTAGCACGATCGCCTCACACCAAGAAAGTCGCTGGTTTGAGCCTCGGCTAGGACAGTTGGCGTTTCTGTGTGGAGTTAACATATTCTCCCTGTGTTGGTGTGGGTTTCCTCCGGGTGCTCCGGTTTCCCCCAAAAGTCCAGAGACATGCAGTACTGGTGAATTGGGTAAGGAAAATTGTCCTTAGTGTATGTGTGTGAATGAGAGTGTATGGGTGTTTCCCAGTGATAGGTTGCAGCTGGAAGGGCATCTGTTGCGTAAAACATATGCTGGATAAGTTGGCTGTTCATTCCGCTGATTATTAAAGGGACTAAGCCAGAAAAGAAAATCAATTAATGAATGAATAAACCATATTGAAATAGACACAATCTCTTTCAGCCCTATTAGGGTGTATTATTATTATTATTATTTCACTGTGATGCTAATAAACACTGCAGCAAATATAGTAAATATGCACATCTGTCAATCATTTCCTAAATAATTAGTTTTTAAAGGGCACAATCACATCATATAAGCTTGAAACATTAAAGTTATTCCTTATTACCAGTAATATTTTTATTAAGTGATAATAATGGTCTGTTGACGCTACACTGCAAACACAGCAGTGTTATTTCAACTCTTAACAGTTAAAATCAACTCAGAATGAGTGAACATATTGCCATAATACCTTCAGAGTTAAAACAACACTCTAAAGAGTTACTTGTACAACACTATACATGAGTTATATTTACACTGTATTGAGTTAAAAATAACTCTGATCTACACTACTGGGAGTTGATTGTTTCCTGGCTCCAGTGCAAAGGATGAAAATTCAACACTTTAACAGTGAGTTTAACTCTGAATTTAATATTTTAACTCTAGTCTAGCAAAAATTACAATACTCATGATTGAGAGTTAAAATAACTTAGTTCTCAGAGCATGATGGAAAATATCCAACTATATGTTATAAGACATTTTTATCAACAAAAAAATATTAACACTTGACGGCCAGCACTATGATATGTACACTTTTTTATTTTTATAAATTAACACTTTTATTTTTAGACTTTAAAAGATCTTAAAAAAGGCATGACTTTTCTGTTCCATTTAGATTGTTGGTCTAATGCATTCCCAGATGTTGTAAATAACACCATCAAGTGTTGGTTAGCTGTAACTCCCATGATGCCACACTGGATCAAATCAGCTTCGAACTCTGACTGTGTTGATTTATCAAAATATAACTCTATAATATTACTAATAATAACTTTACTCTGAAACACTTTAACACCAAGAATTTAACACTGATGAATTTGCTGTGAAATGTTTGCTTTTCAACTAGCTGATTGTTCAAAAAGGTGACGTGCCATTTTTCTGAAGATCTCTATACATTTTAGAGGCTGACAATAGTAGTAGAGTCATTTTAAATCAGTGACCTTACGATATTGCAGCAAATTAATTTAGATGTGGAGCAAAATCTCTGACGAATATTTCCAGTAGCTTGTTGAATCCATGCCATGAAGGATTAAGGCAGCTCTGAAGGCAAAATGGGGTAGTAAGGTGTACCTAATAAAGTGGCCGGTGAATGTAAGGTGAATATTTGAGTTTCTCAATGTAGTTACGGTAACAGTCCTCTAGATGGCGCCATTTGTTTTTGTTTGAATCACGTGAGCTTGTTGAAACCATCTTTGTGGATATAAAAAAACTCTGAACCCATAGGTGAATTATTTTACATCGATTTTAACGTGTAAGCGAATTGACCGGTGTTTGATTCCCGAGCATATGATTCTTAAGAGTCGGTTCATATTTAAAGAGTCAAAACGATCAAGCGTGTCGGTTACTGGCGCTATTGAATATAATTATAACCGACTTGAGATTAAGGAAAAATGGAGATTGAGGAAGAACTATCCATAATAAAAGACGAAGATACAGAGGAACAAATAGGTTTGTGGTTTCATTAATTTTATGTAATGACTAATGAGGAATATTAAAATGACTTCCTGTGTATATAGGAACTGCATATGCGTAACATTTGACGTGCCAAAGTCAATTTGTGCTACTAATAATTGATATTTATTGAGTTATTTGTTCGTTATTTAGCTGAAATATGGTATTTTACTATTGATTTTAGACCTGGTGGAAGTGAATGAAGACAAGTGGCGTCAGAAACCTCCTCACTTCACTAGTGAAAATGTAAACACAGACATTACAAAGACTGAACAGAGTTTGACAACAAATCAAGCTGGAGATTGTCTTAAAGGAAATGTAACTGAGTACATAAGAATTAACGGCAGGTTCACCTGTGTTCAGTGTGGAAAGAATTACGAGCATAAGGGAAATCTAAACGTGCACATGAGGATTCACACTGGAGAAAGACCATTCGCATGTAATCATTGTGGAAAGAGCTTCAGTAACAAGGGAAACCTTGAAAAGCATTTCAGAATTCATACAGGAGAACGACCATTCATATGTGAACACTGTGGAAAGAGCTTTTACGACAAAGGAAAGTTTAATGAACACATGAAGATTCACACTAGAGACTCGCTGTTCACCTGCACTCAGTGTGGAAAGGGCTTCATTCAGAAAGCAGGGCTGAAGAGTCATCTGAAAGTTCACTCTGAGGAAAGACCATTCGTGTGTGCTCAGTGTGGAAAGAGTTTCAAAACTGAAAGCAACCTCAAAAGTCATCAGCTCTCTCATTCTGGAGTGAGGTCGTTCAGCTGTGATCAGTGCGAGAAAACTTTTATTCGTGCGTCAAACTTGAGGGAACACCTTAAAGTTCATGCTGGACTGAAGCCTCATGTGTGCTCCTTATGTGAAAAGAGTTTCTTACGACTGGAAACTTTACAAATTCACACGAGGATTCACACTGGAGTGAGACCATACACATGTTCAGACTGTGGGAATAGCTTTACTATATTAGGCGACTTAAAGAAACACCAGAGGATTCACACTGGAGAGAAACCGCACACGTGTTCACACTGTGGAAAGAGTTTCACTTTTTCAGGAAACCTGAAAAATCATGAGAGAGTTCACACTGGAGAAAAGCCGTATCAGTGCTTGTCATGTGGGAAGAGCTTCAATCAACTATCTAATCTACGAGTTCATATCAAACATAACAAATGTTGCTGTGTCTAAGTAACAAATGCTTCAGAATCGGATCCGTCACTTACAAGACGATCATGCAATATTCAAAAACAGTACGTTTGGAATAATTTCTAGCAGGTTTATTCATTCAATCATTTTCTTTTTGGCTTAATCCCTTTATTAAGCTGGGGTTGCCACAGCGGAATGAACCGCCAACTTATCCAGCATATGTTTTACGCAGCGGATGCCCTTCCAGCTGCAACCTTTCTCTAGGAAAAGGTTCAGTTTATCTAAAAATAAATTGTGCATTTGAGTTTTTCTGAAATGATGGCCACATCTGTTCATTCAGTCGTTTTTTTTACATGTTGATGTGTTAGTCCAAAGGGGTATTGCACAAAAGTAAGATAGCGGATGAAGCTGGGATTTTGAGGCTATCCTGGTTGAATTTAGCATTGACTAGTTGATTTAAAGAAGGTTAAATTAAGCTCCAGAGCAGGTTTACAAACAGCCTAAGATTTATCCTAGTGATATACTGAATGTTAGTTTCGTTGTCAATGCTACTAGAAATTAATGTGTTCTACAGTCACTCCATGCTTTTGGCTATTTACATATATTAGAATTAAAAATAAGTATGCTTAATTTTATTAGCAGTCATTTGATATGTGATCATATATATCCATATCTGATTTAAATATGGTAAGATATAGATAAGAGAGATTAAAAAAAAAATAGATGAATAATTAAAGTAAAAAATACAAATAGTGTGCTCAGCATTAATGAGTACAGCCCATATTAAAAATGAACATTTTTATCTATTTCTCATTGAATATAGACTAATGTTTGGTGCATTTAAGCAAAACAATTTAACTTAACAGTTATATTCATTAAAATAAGACTTTGTTCACCTGACAACATCTGTAGCTATGTATTGAAAGATAATGCATTTAAATTCCAAACGAGAAAAAGTCATACCACATATATATATATATATATATATATATATATATATATATATATATATATATATATATATATATATATATATATATATATATATGTGTGTATGTGTGTATACATATGTATGTATGTATGTATATATATATATATATAATTATTTAAATTTTTTTGATGGAGAAAAATATAATAGATTAAATAGACTTAGTTAGGAAGAAATATTTTAAATGAAAGCAATATATAAATGATTATATAGATGAAGATTAAATAAACTTGATAAACTAAACAGATAAAATAGACCTGCAATATTGGGTGTTTGATACTATCTTCTCGATAAATTCATCAGTAGCATTAATGTCCACTAGTCTCATTTAAGACAAAGTGAACAATTTAATTTGTTAATACGCATCCTCATTTATTTCTGTAAATTTTCTGAATGAAAGTAATGGGAGTTCCCAGATTGGTGGAAGAGAGAGGTGTTTTTCAACTTGGCTTTTTGGTGTCCACTTTTGTGCAATACCCCTCGGATGTTTTGGCTGAAAACTACTCTTGAAATCTAAAAAATATACATATAAAATAATTGACATTGTATGCCAGCTTGAAGAATGTTTATTAAAAAGGATGCCTTTACTAAATATCTGCCCTCTGAAATGTTATGTAATGTACTGACTGCACATAAATGACAAAGGGGTCATGTATTCATGTATAAATTAAATGATCATGGTTTTAAAATGGGTTATAGTTGTGTTTTCCATGGATATTTTTATTGGTTTTATTATTTATTGGTTTTATTTTTGTCCTCACAGTTCATCTAACGAATATCAAAAGGCAACTTTTTGAATTTAACAAATGATGTGTAATAATACTAATAGAAATTATATATCTACAGTTCAAAGCAGAAGTTTACATACACTGTGTAAAAGGCACATAACCATTTAAAAAAGGTCAGATGTTAATGTGACAACTTTTCCTCTTTTAGGTAAGTTAGGATGATCACATTTGTTTCTGTTCTGCTTAATAGCAGAATAATGAGAGAGATATTGTTTGAGAAATTGTTACAACTTTTCTTGAAAGTCAAGTTTACATATACTACGATTATTCTGCCTCTGAAAGAGCTCAGATGATGATGTCAAGGTTTTGGAAGATTCTGATTGGCTAACTGACAACATTTGAGTTAATTGGAGGCACAACTGTAGAATAGTGTTGAAGGAAAATATCAAACACACTGCTTCCTTGTGTGACAACATGGGAAAATCAACAAGCCAGAATCAACAACAAAGCCAGAATACAATTTGCTGAATTACACTGGGAAAAAGACATTTTTTGGAGACATGTCCTGTGCTCTGATGGAGCTAAGATTGAACTGTTTGGCCATAATGACCAGTGTTTCATTTGGAGGACAAAGGGGAAAACGCACAAGCCTAGAAACACCATCCCAACTGTGAAGTATAGGAGCGGCAGCATCATGTTGTGGGGCTGTTTTGCTGCAGGAGGGACTGGTCCACTTCACAGCATAGATGGCATCATGAAGAAAGAACATTATGGAGAAATACTGAAGCAACATCTCAAGACATCAGCCAGGAAATTAAAAATTGGCCACAAATGTCTCTTCCAAACAGACCATGACCCGAAGCATACTGCCAAATTCGTTAAACTGTGCTTTAAGGACAACAGAGTGAATCTTTTGGAGCGGCCATCACAAAGCCCTGATCTTAATCCTGTAGAAAATTTGTGGGCAGAGTTGAAAAAGCTTGCATATCTGACTGAGTTACAGCAATTCCTGTCAGGAGGAATGGGCCAAAATTCCTGCAAATTATTGTGAAAAGCTTGTGGAAGGAGACCCAAAACATTTGGAAATGTGTGTAAACGTTTGACTGTCTAAAAATTAATAAAAAATTCTCTAAAAAATATCTCGTTATTCTGGCATTTAGCAAATGTAAATCATTTAGGTAATCCTAACGGACTTAGAATAGTCAATGTTTACTATGATTTACCATCAGACATTTAAAAAAAATGGTTATGTTCCTTTTTTTGGAGTGTATGTAAACTTCTGGTTTCAACTATGTATATATATATATATATATATATATATATATATATATATATATATATATATATATATATATATATATATACATAATTTTATTTAAGTGGTTATATTTATATTTATATAGACATAAATATATATAATTAAACAAACATATATTATGTAAAATACAAATTTTAATAATGTGTCTTTTAATTATTTTATGTGTTTGGATTGGTGGGAGAAACTGGAGCACCTGGAGGAAACCCATGCCAACACGGGGAAAACATGAAAACTCCACAAAGAAATGGCAACTTACCTAGCCAGAACTCGAACCAGCGACTTTCTTGCCATGGGGCGTCTTGTGCTAACTACTAAGCCATCGTGTCGGCCAATCTTTTTTTAAATGCATTTTTAAAAAAAATAATAATAATAAAGTATATATATATATATATATATATATATATATATATATATATATATATATATATATATATATATATATATAATCCTAAATCTATAAATAAACTAAATATATAAACAAAACAAAAAATACACACACAGACACACACACTCACAGATGAATCTCTAGCATGTGTTTTGTAGTTAGCGTCAATGGTCTATTTCAAAGATAGGAGGCGGTAATGCACTTATTAGTCTGCGATATGCTGAAACCAGTGGGAGAAGAAGAGGCCATGGTTTGTTTTACGTGTAGTGAATGATTCGTAAGAGTCGGTTCATTTGTAAAGAATCAGAACGATCAAGCGCAACGGTTACTGACTCTGTTATTAAAATCTGGTCGTACTAGCCTGACTTGGTATTAAGGAAAGATGGAGATTGAGGAAAAGCCCTGCAGAATAAAAGATGAAGAAACAGAGCTACAAATAGGTTTGTGTTCACATTAATTCTCTGTAATGACTGATGAGGTAAATGACTCGATTTAAAGGGTATCTAAACGGCTGAATTGAACTCAAAGTGTATTTGTGCTAACATTAATGTATATTTGTTGTATTTCCACATGTTATTTAGCTGAAATGTGGTGATTTACTGTTGATTTTAGACCCAGTGGAAGTGAATGAAGACAAACAGCATCACATTCACAACATACGTCCACACCTGATGTATAAACAGAGTTTCACACTGAATCAAGCTCAACAAGCTGGAGTTTATTTTGGGGGAAATGTGACCGAGCACGTGAGAATAAACAGCAGGATTAAGAAGTTCACTTGTGTTCAGTGTGGGAAGAGTTACGAGCATAAGGGAAACTTTAAAGTCCACATGAGGATTCACACTGGAGAAAGACCATTCACATGTACTGATTGTGGAAAAAGCTTCGTTAGCAAAGGAAACCATGATAAGCACGTCAGAATCCATACAGGAGAACGACCATTCATATGTGAACACTGTGGAAAGAGCTTTTACGACAAAGGAAAGTTTAATGAACACATGAAGATTCACATTAGAAATGAAGTCTTCACCTGCACCCAGTGTGGAAAGAGCTTCTTTCAGAAAGCAGGACTGAAGAGTCATCTGAAGTTTCACTCTGAGGAAAGACCATTCGTGTGTTCCCAATGTGGAAAGAGTTTCAAAACTGAAAGCAACCTCAAAACTCATCAGCTCATTCACACTGGAGTGAGGTCGTTCAGCTGCGATCAGTGCGAGAAAACTTTTCTTCGTGCGTCAAACTTGAAGGAGCACCTTAAAGTTCATGCTGGACTGAAGCCTCATGTGTGCTCCTTATGTGGAAAGAGTTTTACGCGACGGACGACTTTAGAAGTTCACACGAGGATTCACACTGGAGTGAGACCTTATATGTGTTCAGACTGTGGGAAGAGCTTCACTATAAAATGCGACTTAAAGAAACACCAGAGGAGACACGCTGGAGAGAAACCGCACACGTCTTCACACTGTGTGAAGAGTTTACCTTCTACAGGAAACCTGAAAAATCTTGAGAGAGTTCACACTGGAGAAAACCTGTATGCGTGCTCCTTATGTGGGAAGAGCTTCAGTCAGTTAGATAGTCTAAAGGTTCATGTAAAACATAAAAGTTGTTGCCTTATTGTGCCAAAATAAGGAATGTTTCAGAATCAGATCCCTGCACTTAATAGTACATTATGGGATGTTTAACAACAGTAAATTCTGAATTATTTTTATAAGAGGTTCAGTTCATGTAAGAAGAAATTAAGCTTTTCTGAAATGATCTGAAAAGTCTTTGTGTTTGTGTTGATGAATTACTCCAGAAATATAATATGTAATAAGAAAAAAGCTAATTGACATAGGATGTCAGCTTAAAGAATGTTTAGTTACAATTATGCATTTTAATAAATATCTTCCCTCTTAAATGTTATGTTTAGTGTACTGACGACACATAGTGAAACTATGAGAAATAAAAAGAAGCTAAATTAATTTAATTCAACTCCCTTTATTTCTGTTGCGCTTTTGCAATGTAAATTGTGTCAAAAGCAGCTTGACATATAGACCTTTTTCTTGGAACGCAAAATAACCCATGATGCTTTGCGTGTATGTGCAAGGAGAATGCGTAGAACTTCCGGTCGGCAGCTGATGCGTGTAAACAGTCACATTTGGACACAGGGTTCAACGCTAAGGATTTTTTCTACTGCTCCGATCGGGCAAATGGTTCAGATTTTTACTTGCCCTGCCAAAATTTTCACTGGCCCCACCAAAAAAAAAAAAAAAAGGGAAGTTAAATGTTTTAGCCGCATATTTTAAATATTGTGTCAAAAATAAAGTCTGCGAATCTAGAATTTCAATACTTAAAAAATTGTTAATAAAAGTGTTATGCAAACAAAAAGAGCAGCATAGAAAATGTTGAGGTATTGCGGTTCGAAATTATTTATTTTAACAAAAGGTGGGTGCCTTGTCAAACTGACGGCGAACTTTGCAAAGCATCACTTGATTTTTTTTTGTTGCGATGTTCACACGTAAATGTCTGCTTCCAAGACATTATAGAAACAGACATTTTCTTTTAGCCTTATAATTTGTTGTTGCCGCCATGTTGCTGTTTCTTCGCTGTACTGGTTGTTACCAGGTTACTGAAAAAATAGCATGCTCAAAACATCAAATCAGAGAAGAGGAACCAGAAAGCAATATGGTGTTTACAACATCACAGAGAAGATAACATTTAAAGACTTAAAAGCACAAACTTAAAATGCACACAATTGACAAATAGTTGCAGACAGATTAAATGTTAGTGACAAGGCAGCACTGTCCCAATCGGGCCAGTAATGATCCAGTCTACTGTCCCAAGCGTCTCTCACGCTGGCCCTGGGCCACCGGGCAGTCCTTATTGTTGAGCCCTGGGACAGCTTTGAAATTATAGTTTTAATCTATTTTACCTGCTTTTATCCTCTTTGAACTAATACTGTTGTCCATCAAAACCATCTCCTGGACTGATCATTTAAAGATCGTTCCCCTCGTTGTCAGACGGCATCTTCTGCAGTTTAAATGAAGCCTCGTCATCGACAGAGCTTAAACCCGCTCCTCTTTCAATGAAGTCGCCGGTGTGGAAGCATTTTGGATTTCCAGTGAGTAATGTTGACAATGTTCGTGTTGTCGACAAAAAAACACAGTTTTGCAAGCTCTGCTATGTACGTATTACGTACGGTTCGTCCGATAGACAACACCGGCATCGCGATCCTCTGCCCGCCCCCGTTGTGAAACTTTTCTCCGCTCGCGAAAAGTACACACTCAGGCCCTGTTTACACTGTCTTTGTTTTTAAATGGCATTTTAGAACGACAACGATTTGACATCCACAGTGGCGTGTAGCATTTCTGAGCAGCCCTCCTTCCTCTCTACCTCTGAAAATGCACATCACGTGACCACACAGACACAGACGCACACACAGCCATGCGCTCGAGACAGCAGGTCCAGGCAGTCAGAGGACTGCTTCAATCTTTCACTCACTTGTACTTAGTCATTTTAGCGAACACCTCAGATACTGTTGGCTGGTTCCTGTTGGTTGTGCGTCTTTTTTACCGACGCCATTATAATGACACAGATCACTGCCTATTCACGAGTCCCGCAGAAAAAGTGATTGACAGGTGGTAATTATGTGTGTATCTTGCCTTTATTCATTTACTGTATGATTTGTTTATGGGTAAAACAAACACCATGCAGGTCAGGTAGTTTAAACAATAGGCTACAAATAATTAATTGGTCATTAATTAATTAATTATTCATAATCGAAAATCGAATCGAATCGTGACTTTAGAATCGAAAATGTAATCGAATTGAGGATTTGGAGGATCGTGACACCCTTACTTTCTATGTACATGAGTTGATTATAACTGCAGATTTATAATAATAGCCTACAGTAACGTCTGCAATTATATGACATAAATAAAATAAATGCAGCATATATGAACGCATACAGACCCTTACAGTCTCTCTTTTGCCTTCAGAACTGCCTTAATCCTTCATGGCGTAGATTCAACAAGCTACTGGAAATATTCCTCAGAGATTTTGCTCCATATTGACATGATCGCATCACACAATTGCTGCAGATTTGTCGGATGCACATCCTTGACACTAGGTCACACTGGACTTCTCTCCCCATTGACTTCCATTCATACGAACGCAGAGTGCAGTTTGCTGTGTTGCAAAGTTCAAGCTTGGTGAACTCTGACCTAGCATGAGACCAATCGAGGATCAAAACGTGACCTCTCTGGTCAGAAATTTTAAATATGGACCAATGGCTTGCTTTTTTTATTGTCTAATCTTCATGTTTAATCCCGCCCCTTTACGCTGCGCTGTACGACAGATTTATGCACACACAAACTGTGATGACCGCAGCATAATGCAAATCTATCTTCTACCACATCCTAAAAGTGCTCTATTGGATTGAGATCTGGTGACTGTGGAGGCCAAGTAAACTCAATTGGTACAAATGAGGCCAAATTGTGCCAAGAAAATCTCCCCCGCACTATTACACCACACCCAGCAGTCTGAACCATTGATACAAGGCGGGATGGATCCATGCTTTCATGTTGTTGATGCCAAATTCTGACCAGACCATCTGAATGTGGCAGCAGAAATGGAGACTCATCAGAGCAGACAACGTTTCTCCAATCTTCTATTGTCCAGTTTTGGTGAGTCTGTGTGAATTGTAGCCTCAGTTTCCTGTTCTTAGCTGACAGGAGCGGCACCCGGTGTGCTCTTCTGCTGCTGTAGCCCATCTGCCTCAAGGTTGGACGTGTTGTGTGTTCAGAGATGCTCTTCTGCAGAGCTCGGTTGTAACGAGTGCTTATTTGAGTTACTGTTGCCTTTCTATCAGCTGGAACCAGTCTGGCCATTCTCCTCTGGCATCAAGGCATTTGCGCCCGCAGAACTGCCGCTCACTGAATATTTCCTCTTTTTCAGACCATTCTCTGTAAACCCAAGAGATAATTGTGCGTTAAAACCCCAGTAGATCAGCAGTTTCTGAAATACTCAGACCAGCCTGTGTAATGGAGGCCAGCTAGTAAGTGCTGTGCAGGTAAACCTCTAGCTAGGGATGGCTGACGTGAAACTGACGTTTCGACACAGTGTCGAGATCCCGAAGCGCAAGTGTTTCGAAACACTGTACCGAAGCATGATCCGAAACACCCAGGTCACGTGACTAAAGTGTTTCGAAACACTTGGTCACGTGACAAAAGCGATTCAAAGCATCGATCATTTCAGAGGCGTTTCAAGACCCGGAGAATCTGCATTTGACTTGCATGATCTTTATGAAGTCTTCGACTTATATGGCCTAGTGGACCGTGCGTGTGCATTATGGAACTGTGTGTCGAATTTATTTTGGGTTCGAATCTCGACTATTACAAATACTCCAAAATCATGATTTTATGTATTTTAATCATGTTACTGTTTTATGGTGTAGCCTAGATAGGATACAGCTGTGGATACACCATCAATTTAGCATCATTTTTGTAACACTGTAAAACAATAATTCATATTTTTACAGTACTGTGATGGGTTTAGGTTTTGGATAGACGTTAATAAAATACAATGGGAAATTTAATTAATAATATAAATAATTATTGTTAACTTCTGGCCACAACTGTATCTGATCTAGTAACAACCCTGTTATATGAACAAAATACAAATTTATTTACAAATGTTTATTCGTATGTCAGAGCAATGTTGAAACAAAACGATACTATAACAAAGCATTATCAACTGGTATTAAAGCATTTAGCACACTTGTGGCAGTCTGGATTCGAACCCATTTTTCCCGCATGGTAGTCACGTACTCTAACCGCTCGACTAAACCACCTGAAGAATCTAGTATACAAAGTCGGGTTTGATACCTCAATTTGCCCAACTGTTCTTTGCTGAAGCTGTTTCAGTGAAATACAGATTAAAATGACCACTAGGTGTCACCGTAGAGTGGTGTTTCGAAACGTTTTGAAGCTTCGACACATTTGCTTCGATAGTTTCAGTGTTTCACGAAGCCTCGCTTTGCCCACCACTACCTCTAGCAACAGACGCTAGAGACCATGATCATTAGCCTCCTTGGTAGAGCAACCAACTCTCATGCGGAAGGTTGCTGGTTCAATATAGCGTAGGACCGGCGGGGTTACACCTGTCTGGCACCAACAACCATGCCACGTTCAAAGTCACTTAAATCCCCTTCCTTCCCCATTCTGATGCTCGCTTTGAACAGCAGCATATCGTCTTGACCATATCTACATGCTTAAATGCATTGAGTTGCTGCTGTGTGATTGGCTGATTAGAAATTTGCGTCAACAAGGAGGACAGGTGTACCTAATAAAGTGGCCACCTTGTGGATTCCAATATGTAAAGATAAAAATAAATGTAATGAGACCATGTCTGGGCACTACAAGTCCCAGCAGGCTTAGCGCCATGCAAGGAAGTGTTGTTGTTTATGTGCGGACACTTTATTTCCTGATTGTGGCGTAAATTAACAACAGGTTGTAGATTGCTCAGCGCTATATAAGTGAGTCAAAGTTTGTTTGCCATTTTGCTGTCGTTGTTGCATTCTGGTCGCGGCACGTAAAGGCCGGTAGGTAGTAAGTTTATTTGTGTGATGTGCGGTCTCTCTCTCTTTCTCGCGGAGTTTCCTTTTTTTAACTCATGCATAAACTGACATTTATAGAGTCCACACTTCACGTGAGGGGTAGCTGATGAGCAAACAACATTTAATGCTGCCAGATCTTCATAGCGAACTTATTTAAAGAGGTAGTTGTTTTATAATTTTAATAAACCGTTTTTAGTGTTGTGTTTTAATGATATTATCCTTTTTATTTCTAGTGCAATTACGGGATCATTGTTTGCTGATTGTTGCCTGAGTGTCAGCATGGGAAATTAAGGATCTTAGAGGTATTGTTTAAAACAAAGAAGGGTTTTTATCTTTTAATGCATGTTTTATTTATAGGATGTTTTATTGTGTTTGATTTCTTTATATTCTGAGTTTCTGTGTTGTAATAAACTGTGTTTCCCCTTTTTTAGGGATGCACGGTTGCCGTTTACTTTAGACTTACAATAATATTTTTGTTATTGAGTCTTTGTTGTTGACTTTTGTTGTATGCTAATTTGGGTTGTTTATTATGTTGCTAGGTTGAAAACAATTTGTATTTTCCTTTGTTAAACTTTTCTTTCTTTTGTAGGTTCTGTTTTGGATTTGCTTTACCATCAGTGGCCACTGGGTTCCCTGCACTGTGTGGATGGCGGTGGAGAAAAGGTGGTTGGGATTGTGTGGTGATTTGGTCACTGTTGATTTTTGTGTTTTTTAGGTTGCAGTGTGATTGCTGTGAGCTGAGTGTGGTGAAAACACTGCTGCTTGGGTACCTCATCTGTCCTCACTTTCTGGGTAACCGGTGGCCATTAGTGGTTTGTTTTTTCTTTTCTTTTATTTAGTTTATTTACTTTTTTTTCCTCCTTATTTGCAATAAAGATGGAGACAATTTGTATATTACAACTTGTGGAATAAAATATAATTGTCCTCCTAATTGTAAGTCACTTCATTTACCCTCTGCTAAATCATTAACACTGACAAAAGTCATCTGGTCACAATTGGCGTAGTCGGCAGGACATTTAAAATTGATTTAATTTAGCAGAGGCTGTTGTGAAGTGTCTTACTCTATCGATTGTGCAACTTTAAATGTTTTTGCATAAGTTCAGTGTAAGTAAACGGTGACCGTGCATAAAGGATTTCGCAGACTCTGCTTTGTGGACCCTGGATGTCATTGTGCTGATTGAACTGTCTTCCAGAATTCACCAACAGATATGGAGCAAGAACTAATGGACTTGAGGGAGCGGGTTCAAAGCTTACAAGCACAGAATGAGGAGTTGATGAGACTGCGTCCCCCATCTAGCAGTGATGCCCCTAGCCAACCTCACCCTTCTGTTTCTAATGACCCATCCTCAGTGTCTTTTAACAGAATGCTTTATGTGCCCCGAGAGAGGAAGTGCCCACGTTTTTATGGGAACATGGACTCTAACTTGAGTATTGAGGACTGGATTGACGAGGCTAAGGTGTGTATTGAGGGTAGAGGTTGGGCTGATAAAGAAAAGGTGGTCTTTCTGTTGGATCATCTTGGGGGAGAAGCTAGAATGGAGGTAAAACTTCATCCACCTGTTACTAGACAAACTCCAGAGTCTGTTTTTGAAGTTTTAAAAGATTTGTATGGGGGAAAACAGACATTTGTACAATTACAGCAGAGGTTTTATGAGCGAAAACAGAAAGAAGGTGAATCATTGACTGAATTTTCTCATGCTTTAATGTCATTGATGGACTTGATTCTTAATAGTAATCCAGGTAGTGTTCCCAATTCCGATAGAGTGCTTCGCGATCAGTTTGTTGAATATGTCCAAGATGTAACGCTAAAACGTGAGTTGAAACGACTTGTGAGGGAGAAGCCTTCTCTTACGTTGCTCGAGGTTCGACGTGAGGCTCTTAGATGGGTAGAAGAGGGGAGCAGGGAAGCAACTCTTTCATATTCCCAGCCATGGTGTAATGCCACTCAAACCAGGGTAGTTGACCAGGAACCTAAGGTTAGATTCCAGGAATCAACAGAGTTAAAAGAAATGAAAGAAATGTTGAGACAGCAACAAGCACAATTAAATGATCTTACCCAGCGTCTTGATAGACTTATGCCTACAAAGAATGATCCCCCTGCTGTTGCTTTACCAAGGCAAAATACATTGCGGCGATGCCTACGTTGTAACAAAATGGGGCACATTGCCAGATTTTGTCGTTCACCTTGGCCTACAGAGTCAAACTCCGGATCACCTCAGGCAAATGTAAATGAGATTTCAGTTGGGGAATCCGATACTGTAGCCCCTACTGCGATTTTAAGCCAGATTGTTGAAGAGACAAGGGAAGCTTCAAAGTCACCCGTTTGCCCTACTATTTTACAGCGACTCGTGGGCAAATGCCCTGTTGTAAATGCACAGATTGGGATGGGAGTAGATATTTCTTGTTTGTTGGATACAGGATCCATGGTAACCACGATAACAGAGTCATTTTTTGAGAAACATTTCCATCAATTAGGGGTGAATGGTCTTAAGAAATGTAACTGGCTTCAATTAAAAGCAGCTAATGGCCTTGAGATCCCCTATGTGGGTTATTTTGAAACCGACGTGAAAGTGTTGGGACAAACCCTTCGAGGACAGGGCATTTTGGTTGTGAAAGATCCAGTTGATGTTTTTTTTCATCAAAAGAAAGAATTTACTCCTGGCCTCTTGGGCATGAACATTATAGGACAATGTTATAATGATTTATTTGAAAAACATGGCCCAGCACTATTTTCAGTTCCACAGGTTAGGCAGGCAGAACAAGGTTGGAGAGACGCCCTATCCCAGTGTCACAGGGTGGAGGATGCCCCTGTTCCTGGCTTTGTTGGGTATGCCAGAGTGCAGTCCTGCCAACCTGTTCAGATTCCAGCTGGAACTATGAGGTTAGTGCCTGCTTTGTGCCCAAAGAATATACACAGTGGGACAGTAGTGGTTTTAGAACCCCAAAACCCAGAGAACGGGGGGTTACCTGCTGGAGTGCTAATCTCATCTGCTATGCTGCAGTGTGTACAAGGTATAGTTCATGTACCTATAGTTAATGTCGGCACAGAACCTTTATATTTGCCCCCCAAAATTAGATTGGGTAGTTTGCTTAATGTTGAAATCATAAGTTCATCTCAGGGCATTTTCTTTCAGGGTGATGGGTCACAGGACCCTAATGTAGTGGTTGTTCAGTGTCATGCTGTTACATCGGAGTCAAGCATTGATATGCAAGGCGTAGAACTGTCTGGGCTTTCACAGATTGAGGAGGAGGAAGTTAAGAGATTGTTAATGAAATATTCAGACGTCTTTTCAAAACATGATGGCGATTTGGGATGTACAAATTTAATAGACCATCAAATCCCCTTAGTAGATGATACACCAGTACGCCAACGCTATCGTAGAATTCCCCCCAGTCAGTTTGAAGATGTGAAGGCTCACATTAGACAGTTGCTGGACAGCCACATTATTAGGGAGAGCAGTAGCCCATATGCCTCCCCAATTGTATTGGTGAAAAAGAAAGATGGTTCTTTGAGGATGTGTATTGACTACCGCCAGCTGAATGCCAGAACCCGTAAGGATGCCTACCCTTTGCCAAGGATAGAAGAGTCGCTGGATGCATTGACTGGAGCAAAGTGGTTTTCAACTTTGGATCTGGCAAGTGGATATAATCAGGTACCGGTAGCGGAATCTGATCGATTCAAGACTGCTTTTTGTACCCCATTTGGGCTGTTTGAATTTAACAGGATGCCATTTGGACTGTGCAATGCCCCAAGCACTTTTCAAAGATTAATGGAGAGAATTTTTGGGGATCAGAGTTTTCAGTCGCTGCTGCTCTACTTGGATGATGTGATTGTTTTCTCAACAACTATTAAGCAACATATTCAACGACTGGGGCTGGTGCTGGATAGGCTGAGACAACAAAACCTTAAGATAAAACTCAGTAAATGTTGCTTTTTCCGGTCAGAAGTACGTTATTTGGGGCATGTGGTCTCTTCCACTGGGGTTAGCACAGATCCAGAGAAGATATCGGCCGTAGCTAAGTGGAATCAGCCACAAAGTCTTCAAGAACTCAGATCTTTCCTTGGCTTTGCTAGCTACTATCGACGGTTTGTAAAGGACTTTTCAAAAATGGCTGGACCCTTGAATGCATTGGTAGCGGAGCTGATTAGGGGGCAAAAGAGTAAACGACCTAAGATTAACCTGGGGTCCAATTGGACTGATTCTTGTGAACATGCTTTCCAAGCCCTTAAAATGGCTCTGACTAACGCTCCTGTTCTGGCTTATGCTGATTTTAGTAAGCCCTTTATTCTAGACATTGATGCAAGTCACCAAGGTCTGGGCGCTGTGTTGTCTCAAGAACATGGAGGTAAAAATCGACCAGTGGCTTTTGCAAGCCGTGGATTGCGACCACCTGAACGTAACATGCAAAATTACAGCTCTATGAAATTGGAGTTTTTGGCCCTGAAATGGGCTGTTACAGAAAAGTTCAGGGAGTACTTGTTGGGCCAGAAGTGCTTTGTGTATACTGATAATAATCCACTTAGCCACTTGCAGACTGCAAAGTTGGGAGCATTGGAACAGCGTTGGGCTAATCAACTGGCAGATTTCGATCTGGAAATAAAATACAAGCCTGGACGTTCAAATGTTAATGCTGATGCTCTTTCTAGAAAAACTCCATCTGTGGTTGAACTTGCTTTAACGACTCCAGTGCCAAAGGAGTTACATCAGTATGGTCCCAACAGTTGTCACACAGTTGCCAGTGAAACCATGTCTGTCTTTCCAGAACAGCCTAGGGAAGATCTTGGTGCGTTACAGGAAGCGGATCCTGCAATTGGGCGTTTTCTTGTTTATTGGAATCGCCAAAAGACCCCTGATGCACAAGAGAGAGCAATGGAGTCATCAGAGGTGCTGGAACTCGTGCGGCAGTGGGGGAAGCTGGTGAAGATGGAGGGAGTGTTGTACCGAAAGTTTCATCCTCAAGAGGAACATCGAGAAATCCGCCAGGTTGTATTACCATCTGTACTCAGGGAAAGAGTCTTGGCCAGTCTACATGATGATCATGGGCATCAAGGCATTGAACGGACCGCAAGTTTAGTGAGAACTCGTTGTTATTGGCCAGGTATGTTTAAGTTTATTGAGGAATGGTGCAAGAGATGTCAGCGTTGCACTCTGGCTAAAGTGGTACGACCAAGAGTGCGAAGTTTCATGGGGCACCTGATGGCAGAGAGACCATTGGACATCCTGGCTATTGACTTCACATTACTGGAACCTGCATCAAATGGGCTTGAAAATGTACTAGTTATGACTGATGTGTTTTCAAAGTTCTCACAAGCTATCCCAACTAAAGATCAAACTGCAGTAACAGTGGCACGGGTTTTAGTGGTCACATAAACAATAAAATATTTATAAAAAAAGAAAACTATATGAGACAGTCATACAGATAGCTTAAGGGATTCTCATGTAAACCTTCTTAGTTTTGATTCACTGCTTTTCAAATTAAGTGACAACTCAATATAATGTCTAACTTAACAAAAGTTTGGGCTTTCCTTTGGAAAATTTCTGTTTGTGTATATGGTACTTTCCCATAATCAAACCAAGATTAAGAATGACGACCTCATTTGGTTTTAATATCTCTTTATTAAACAGAAAAATACATCTCTCTAATAGAAAAAGAAAGCTTCCTAAATATTTACCTGGTTGTTTTCTATCTGTATCGGGTTTTGCCAGTGGTGGCGCTCGAGCACCAGAAACAATCACGAACATCCGAAAACAAAAGAAGAAGAAGCGAGAAGAACGCATAAATATTAAAAGTGACACACAGCCGTTTATTATGCTGTTAATCCGCTGGCGTAAGTACATTCACTTTATTACTTATGAAACAAAGTGTTTACAAGACTTGGGTTATTATGTTGAACTCAAAACACGTATAACCTGCCAGAGTACATACATTAATCCGAACGCATCACGACCGAAATGAGATAGGCTGTACTTTCCATTCCGTCTTTATATGGAATAAAACAATGGCATAATGATGAATATAATTAGTTTGTCATCATTTAAAATGTAGTAAATGGTTGAAAATGTATTGTCTTCCATAAACCTCTTATTATTATTATAAATGCTGCTGTGTTATTACAGTTTTGAAAAACTAAATGTGAAAGTCTCAAGTGTATAGTATGAATTACAGCTAAATAAAATCGAAAAATCATTAATATTCTCACTTTATAAATAATAAGTGGCCTAACTACTAATACAGGGATAAGCAAACTTGATCGTCGAGGGCCGGTGTCCCTGCAGAGTTTTGTTCCAACACTAGTCAAACACACCTGAACAAACAAATCAGTGTCTTCAAGATCACTTGAACTCTATAGGGAGGTCTGTTTGAATAGGGTTGGAGCTAAACTATGCAGGACACCGACCCTCCAGGATCAGGTTTGCCCACACCTGTACTAATATGTACTCACACAGAAGTTGTTAATGTTACTGTGTACTTATCGTGTAAATGCATGTTCTTGCATTGTACTTATGCTTGATTAAATGTCTGCATGTGACTATATCTGTAATGAATTTATGTAATTACCTTTAAAATAACACTGTTGACTACTCCTCACACATTAACCCACACTTAGATCTACCCATACCACTAAACCTGTCCCTAACGCTACCCGTATCCCACCTCAAGAGCAGCAGAAGTGTTCTGCAATACATTATGAACACATCAAGTACACTGTATTTACTTTTTTGATGTAAGTACCTAGTACTTAAGGCCACATAATATAAAGTGGGACCTCATTAATATATGCAGCTGGGCTAATTTTACAATTATTACTATTACTATTTTATATTATAATATATATATATATATATATATATATATATATATATATATATATATATATATATATATATATATTATTATTATTATTATTATTATTATTATTATTATTAATATTATATAATTTAGGCATTCATTTTTCCATCCATTTATTTCTAATAACATACCAACTTTATAGATTTTGTCTCTAAACCATGTCCTCTGTAACACTATGCTGATTTAAATAGGCCAATTTCACACAAAAAACTTTAATTAGTTGAAGGACCCCATTCAAGATGATGTGATTGAAACCCCAGTGAAGGTTTTGTATCAGAATTTATTACACTTTGAACTTTATTTGAAATTGTAAAAAATAAATAGCTCTATCTGAAGATAAGTGATCAGTTTTCTTTATTTTTGTTATGTCACACCTCTAGATTTTCATGGTACAGTTCAATAAAAAAAGAATAAAAACTGGGAAAGAATTGATTAAGTTAGCAAGCACTTATATTTTCTTAAATACCAGCCTTTAAACCAGAGGTTCTCAAACGTTTCAGCCTGCGACCCCCAAAATAATAATGTCAGTGACTTGCGACCCCCCCCCCCCCTTTTTCAAGGTGATTATACTGTAAATATACAAACGTTGCACATACAACAATTGAATTGAATTTTATTTGACAGATTTTAGACAAACTGTACAAAAAGTATTCCATACACTTTGTTAAAAAAAAACTGTCGAGGATAAAAACACAATAAAGCCCTGGGCTTATTTCCATTGTGGTCCTCTGTTAAATAAAAACAATGTATGGCTTCAAAATAATAATGAAGAATAAAACAAACTGTCGCCACAGCGGTACGAACAGCCAACCTATCCAGCACAATGTCCCTCCAGCCGCCAACCTATTCACACTCAAGTAACATATAATTTAAAAGATCCTCGTCCACCATGCAAACTAATTATCCTCATCAAACAACCATCTTTTAATAGCTTTTTTGAACAACCTTAAATCTTTTATTTCCTTAATTGAATTTGGTAGTTTGTTCCACATGATTGCACTTGTATAGAAAAACATATTTTTCCCCACTAAACTTCTAAATTAAAATAAACAAATATTAAAATCCCAACTCCTAGTACTGTATGAATGCTGTTGCCTCACCATTTGAAAATAGTTCATCAAATAGCTAGGAACCACATTATTAAACATTTTACGTACCATTCCCAGTTTTAAAAAACACACTCTATTACTAACAGTTAACATACCTAATTTATTAAAAGACTCTTTGTGCAAATGTGCTCTAGGATGCATTTTTAAAATTATTCGTACTAATTTATTTTGTGCCTTTTGCAATTTCTCCTTCAAATTTTGTGAGCAGCTACTGTACCAAAATGACGTAGCATAATCAAAATGGGGTTGAATTAAAGCTCCTGCCAACAATTGTAAAGAATGAACAGCCAAAAGATCATACTATAGGCATATATAAACATGAGCATATTGACAACACAAAAATGCAACAGTCTAATAGCCGTATAATGTGTTTTATAGTCATTTATTAATTTAATTTCTATAATATTTTAACTAAATAACTATTAACTATCTTTTGTGGGTTATGAATAAAATATTTTATTTCTAATAATTTAATAAAATGTATTTGAGTTTTGGAAATCACTAAGCGCCCCCCTTGTCATTGTCAACCCCCACCCCCCAAACCCAACACCCCCCTTTGAGAACCACTGCTTTAAACTACATAAATATAAAAAAATTATTAATTTAAAAATGGTGTTTTACAAAATAAAAACATTTTTATTCCCTATTGGTCAACAACTGATATATTTATCAGGCAAACCATCTAAAAAGAATATTTTTGGATGTATTATTATTTTACTCTAATAATCAATGAGATAGTTAACCCAAACATCTATATCTATCTTCGTTTAGTCACCCTTTATTTGTTTCAAACCTTTATAAGTTTCTTTTTCCAGTTTAAACACGAGAAGATATTTTGAAGAAAGAAAAACTGTTGCCAATAATGTAGTATTTGTTTTCCCTGCTATAGAAGTCAATTGTACTGTCCTCCAATTGGTGTTCTTAACCAAAATTAGACAGCCAGCCAAACTCCTGTCATAAATTACACGAGAGTCAGGATATAGCCTTCTAGCTCCGTTTAATAGAGACTCTTGTCAAATGTAGTCATGAACAAGGGAGTGAAACTGAAAATAGATACAAAAAAAAAATACATTTAGGTGAAACTGTAGCTTGTACAATGTTGGCTAACATAACAATTACAATCAAATAGAAGGTTTAAGTCAACAATCAATTATGAATTAAACACAAACCCACTTTTAAGATGTTAACATAGAAAATATAATGACTTACAAGCAGTTCTTGCCATGGAGTGTATCAGGCCCGGATTGGCTAATCGGGAGGACCGGGAGAATTCCCGGTGGGCCGGTCTGTATTTTGGCCGCGAGGGCTGGTGTCCCTAGCTGCTTGCACTCTCAGCAGTCACACTTTTTTTCTTCTATTTATTTATTTGACCATAGCTTTACTCTTTTCAGTGTATACAAAACAAAGATTATTGCAGCAAAACGATCTCCTCCGTGTGCTCCAACATATTAAGAAACTTCCTGGTTCATACTGCGATATTAAAGTAGACCACTAGAGGTCGTAATAGTACAACAAGTCCCACTGGGCAGAACATCAATGGTTACACATTTTCAGCTTTATTCAAAATATCTTATTCAGTGTTCAACAGAAGGAAGAAACTTATAAATGTTTGTAATCACTTGAGGGAGAGTAAACCGTGAGGAAGTATTTATTTTTGGCTGAACAATATCTTTAATATTTTTGATTGTAACACTAAAACATGCATACCTGTGATTTACAAACTACTACTTCCCATCTTCCCACAGCTAAAAAAGCAGCAAACAGGTGAAATTGCCTTTTTAATTAAATCAGCAGGAGAAGCAACTGACATACTATAGTAAAGATGGAGATTGAGGAAGAACCCTGCAGAATAAAGGAGGAAGAGACAGAGGAAAGCATAGGTTTGTGTTTTAATTATTTCTCTTCAATGTTGTATGAAGAAAATAAGAATGATCAGTGAAATATAACGATATATTTGTAGGAAAGATGGAGTTTAGGGAAGAACCCTGCAGAATAAAAAATGAAGATCAAGAACAAATAGGTTTGTGTTTTACTTCTTTCTCTTTAATGACTGATGAAGAACGGTAAGATGAAAACTGACATGTATGTATTTTACTAATATTACATAAATAAAAATGTTACAAGATGTAAAATAAGTGTGACTGGAGTATGGGTGTGTGAAATCTTTGCTCAAGATACCACACAAATAATGTTTACAACCCTTTAAAACTGACCCTTTTAGGCTTTGATCCTAATTGTGGCGTTTTGGTGTCTGATGTACTGACATGGACATCAGTAATCAAATTATTAGCTTTAATCTAATTAAGACAATAATAAGACTTTTACATGAGTTGCTTTTTGAGTGTTCTTTTCATGATCCCATTTTACATGTTATAGCACATAATTCGATTAATGTCATTGCGTCACCGCTAAGGGTGTCACGATCCTCCAAATCCTCAATTCGATTACATTTTCGATTCTAAAGGCACGATTCGATTTTGTGTGCTAGAGTTTGTGTGTGCATAAATCTGTCGTACAGCGTAGCGTAAAGGGGCGGGATTAAACATGAAGATAAGACAATAAAAAAAGCAAGCCATTGGTCCATATTTAAAATTTCTGACCAGAGAGGTCACGTTTTGATCCTCGATTGGTCTCATGCTAGGTCAGAGTTCACCAAGCTTGAACTTTGCAACACAGCAAACTGACCTAGTGTCAAGGATGTGCATCCGACAAATCTGCAGCAACTGTGTGATGCGATCATGTCAATATGGAGCAAAATCTCTGAGGAATATTTCCAGTAGCTTGTTGAATCTACGCCACAAAGGATTAAGGCAGTTCTGAAGGCAAAAGAGAGACTGTAAGGGTCTGTATGCGTTCACATATGCTGCATTTATTTTATTTATGTCATATAATTGCAGACGTTACAGTAGGCTATTATCATAAATCTGCAGTTATAATCAACTCATGTACATAGAAAGTAAGGGTGTCACGATCCTCCAAATCCTCAATTCGATTACATTTTCGATTCTAAAGGCACGATTCGATTTTCGATTATGAATAATTAATTAATGACCAATTAATTATTTGTAGCCTGCCGTGTAAACTACCTGACCTGCATGGTCTTTGTTTTACCCATAAACAAATCATACAGTAAATGAATAAAACTGTCCAAAATTGTCGCAATTTCGAGCCCTGCTTCCGCTGTGGCGACCCCTGATAAATAAAGGACTAAGCTGAAGGAAAATAAATGAATAATTAAATGATTTCAGACGGAGTTAAACACAAACACTTGGTTTAATCGTCTTGATCTTTTTGCAGATGGAAATGCAGGCAAAGCATCGTTCAGCTGCTCCGAGTGTGGAAAGACTTACAAAAATAAATCCACATTCAGAGTGCACATGAGATTTCACACTAGAGAGAGACTGTTGACATGCACTGAGTGTGGGAAGTATTTCGCTGAGAGAAGAAAGCTGGACAGACACATGAGGATTCACACTGGAGAAAAGCCGTACACATGCTCTCAGTGTGGAAAGAGCTTCACATCTAAAAGCACTCTCATAGATCATCAGCTCTCTCACAGCGGAGTGAAGGCGTTCAGCTGTGATCAGTGCGAGAAAACATTTGCGTCTGCAGCATACTTAAGAAAACACCTTAAAGTTCACGCTGGACTGAAGCCTCACTGCTGTACTTTTTGTGAAAAGAGTTTTTCGCGACTGGAAACTTTACAAATTCATCAGAGGATTCACACCGGAGTGAGACCGTATACGTGTTCAGACTGTGAAAGAAGCTTCAGCACATCAGCTAACCTGAAAACACACCGGAGGACTCACACTTGAGAGAAACCGCACTGCGAGAGGAGTTTCACTTTGTCAGAAGACTTGATAGATCATCAGAGGATTCACACTGGAGAAAAAACACATCAGTGCTGTTCATGCGGGAAGATTTTCAGTGTCTTAGCAAGATTACGAACTCATGAGAGAAGGCATTGTGCAAAGTGAGCGAAGTTTCCATTGAAATGCGTTATAATCAAGTAAATAAAGTTTGAATTAAGCCTGACTGCTTCTTTTGTTGAAATTAATAGTGTGAAGTTTGATAATGGGTGGCGCAGTGGTGCAGTAGGTAGTGCTGTCGCCTCACAGTAAGAAGGTCGCTGGTTTGAGCCTCGGCTGGGTCAGTTGGTGTTTCTGTGTGGAGTTTGCATGTTCTCCCTGCGTTCGCGTGGTTTGCTCCGGTTTTCCCCACAGTCCAAAGACATGGTACATGTGAATTGGGTAGGTTAAATTGTCCGTAGTGTATGCGTGAGTGTGTGTGGATGTTTCCCAGAGATGGGTTGCGGCTGGAAGGGCATCCGCTGCTTAAAATCGTGCTGGATAAGTTGGTGGTTCATTCCACTGTGGCAACCCCAGTGGAATAAAGGGACTAAGCCGAAGAAAAATGAATGAACGAATGAATTTAGTCATCGATCTAGAGTTGAGGGTTAAATAGTTTACCTTCATCTAGATGAAAAGGCATTATACTAAAACAAAGGACTCCTTAATGAATTACATTAAGAGTATATTTAATAATTAAAAATGAAACATCTTTAGATTCAAATAAACAACGAATAAAACAAGTTTTCTTAAGAGTTTTTTTATATCTGACTGACGTATAATAACATGTATCGGGTTTTACCAGTGGTGGCGCTCTAGCACCAGAAAACACTGACGAACATCCGAGTCTACAAGAAGAAGAAGAGCGCGGAAAAGTATAAACAAAAGAAACAGCCGCACGCCATGCTTTAAAATCTGCGGTATTCATCACATTGTAAGTATAGTAACTTTATTAATTATTAGACTATAAAAACTACAAGACTCGGTTCATTTTAGTAAATCCAAAACATGTATCAATTAACGCAAATCCGAATCATATCTTCAAAACCTAAATAAGGTAACGTTTCAGACTCAGAGCGTATCACTATTGGATACTCGACGATATAATTTTGACCATATAACGTTTAAAGAAATACATTTTTAAAGTTTATTTTATAATATATTTTTTCTGTTATGTAGACATGTTATTTGGGGATTTTAAGCGAACAGACACAAATTCAAGTTTCTGTATGAACCTCGTCTTACTTGTCGGAGAGTTTCATATACTTCCATGCAAATATAATAAACGTAAACTCCAATTTATGATTCGTTAAACAAGAATTGGAATTGTATTCAAATATAATTTGAACATCTAGTAATAAGAAAGTATTCCCAGAGATGGGTTGCGGCTGGAAGGGCATCCGCTGCGTAAAAACTTGCTGGATAAGTTGGCGGTTCATTCCGCTGTGGCGACCCCGGATTAATAAAGAGACTAAACCGACAAGAAAATGAATGAATGAATAATAAGAAAGCAGTTAAAACTTCTCAAATTTGTGCCTTGTTTAATATTCGGCACTAATTTGCCCTTTAGCTTTTCCTACTTTCATAAAGTTAGTTTTATATTTGTATGTTTAGACATTCTTTCTAATAATATAATTTCAGAAAAGTATTCTTTGCAAATTCTAATTAGTGAAATCATATTAGCAGCCAACGACTATCTAAGTACAACCATTCATTCATTAATTTTTTTTCCGCTTAGTCCCTTTATTAATCCGGGGTCTCAGAGCAGAGTGAACCGCTAACTTATTCAGCACATGTTCTATGCAGCAGATGCCCTTCCAGCTGCAACCCATCTCTGAGGAAACATCCATACACACTCATTCACTACAGACAATTTTAGCCTACCCAATTCACCTGTACCGCATGTCTTTTAACTGTGGGGGAAACCGGAGCACCCGGAGGAAACTTACACGAACATGGGGAGAACATGCAAACTCCACACAGAAACGCCACAGAAACCTCGAACCAGCGAACTTCTTGCTGTGGGGCGACAGCACTACCTACTGTGCCACTGCGTCGCCTTAAGTACAACCACGTTTACAGTCAATTAGATAGTGCTGATGTTGTTTTGAATTCATACTTGAACATGCGAAGTCATGAACATGCGAACATAAAACCAACTTCACTTCAATCTTTCTTTTGATAACCTTCATTCATTCATTCATTTTCTTGTCGGCTTAGTTAGTTGATCCGGGGTCGCCACAGCGGAATGAACTGCCAACTTATCCAGCAAGTTTTTAAGCAGCGGATGCCCTTCCAGCCACAACCCATCTCTGGGAAATATCCACACACACATTCACACACACACTCGTACACTACGGACAATTTAGCCTACCCAATTCACCTGTACCGCATGTGTTTGGACTGTTTGGGAAACTGGAGCACCCGGAGGAAACCCACGCAAAGGCAGGGAGAACATGCAAACTCCATACAGAAACGCCAACTGAGCCGAGGCTCGAACCAGCGACCCAGCGACCTTCTTGCTGATTGTTTTACACTGGCTTGAAATGCCTTAAAAACAAATGCAAATGACAACATGATTGTTAACTTTAGTCAAATTTTCCAGTGAATCCTCAAATAACGCACGTTTTCAACTGTGGAAAATCCTAACTCGACATTACAGATCCTGCGATGTGAGTATAGCGGAGTAGGGGCACATTGCGTTATCGATGCAGCCCTAGTCTGCACAACAGAAATTCCTAACATATTGTTTGATAACAGCCAAAAAGTTGTTCTGGGAAATCTATCCTCCAGCTGCTAAACTATGGCTTGAGGTATTGATATCTACTCTACACTTGTTGGAATGAACCACGTATCTTTTAAAGACCAACATCAAAACAATTTCACAAGATCTGGGGCGCTTCTGTCATTTCATGAGGAATTATATTACCTATGCATTGTATTTGCACCTAAAAAGTTGATTTGATTATCACCGTGTTGTATACATGCAGGCTGGGTTGTGGGTTAGGTTTGTCTTTGTAAGTTTATGTGCATATCAGAAAACTAATCTTGGAACTTGTGATTGTTGTAAGTCTATTAAATAGCCAGCCCTCATTGGTGGAGAATGTGGCAGATCCTGATTGGATGACTACACTACTAATTATTAACTGGTTGTGTAATTGTGTATATAAGTGTTGTTGTGCTAGTTGGGAGAGGATGGTGAGGTTACTTATGAGCAGGGCCAGATGAAATCTGCGGAGGTTTTTTGCTATTTCTGCTGAGAATTTTGGTAAAAATCTGCGGATTTCTGCTGAATTATTTTGTGAGTTTAATAACTAAAACCTTAATATGTGAAATAAAAAGTAACACCTTTTTAGCTTCTATTTAATGTTTAAATTGCAAATCTAATTAGATTCACTTTATTTGTTAAACAAAGCAAGTCTCTCATATAATATCTCTACTAAAAGACAGAAAATATTACTGTACAAACTGCATTGTAGATAAATCAGATGAACATTTTCATATTAGTCAATAATATTACTGTAATTAATAAAAAAAAACTGAATAAATATAGATTTACACACATTTACTCAAGTAAATAAATAGAATTAATGATGGGCAAAAAACTGGGCGCACAGATTCCGTGGGGGCCTACTTATGAGTCCTCATGTCAATAGTCAATACCATCACGTTGACTCACGTTCCATTATTTAAATATACCATGTAGTTAGAGTTTTGATAAAAGTTCTGTATTTTCATTATTTCCCTATATTTTTGTTTGTTTGTTGCTTTGACTGATTTTTCTTTTATTTATAATAAATATAAAATAAATTCATTTTTAGGATGTTTGCTTCAGATACCATCTAAGCCAGGTGTGGTCAAACTTGGTCCTGGAGGGCCGGTGTCTTGCGTATTTTAGTTCCAACTCCAATTAAACACAACTGAAGCAGCTAATCAAGCTCTTTCTAGGCATACTAGAAACGTAGGTAGGTGTGTTGAAGGAAATTGGAACTAAACTATGCAGGACACCGGCCCACCAGGACTGAGTTTGGACACTCCTGATCTAATAAATTTACCTTTATTCATAGTTGCTTTTATAATTGTCTGTTGTCTTTTCAATATTTGATGTTTCTTTTCATTTTGGTACCTAAAAAAAAAAAGCGATCATCTGTGATGTGCAGTTCATTCCTTTGTCTTTGCTTTTCACACATTCTGCAGGAGAAACAAGTGAAGATGGAGATTAAGGAAAAACCCAGCAGTGTAAAAGATGAAAAGAAGGAGGAACAAACAGGTTTTTATTTTTCTTCTTTCTCTTTAATGTCTGATGAGGAACATTAAAAGTGTCAGAGTGCACTGTGACTATGGGCTCTATTTTGACGGTCCATGCGCAGAGCGCAAAACGCAGGGCGCAAATGCTTTCAGGGCGTGTCAGAACACATTTTTGCTAATTTACGGACGGGAAAATCCGCTTTGCGGCGTGGCGCATTGTCTAAAAGAGTTGAGTTTATTTTCTTAATGAGTTTTAGGTGTGTTTTGAGAATAAACCAATCAGAGTCTCATCTCCCATTCCCTTTAAGAGCCAGCTGCGTCGCACCAAGAGCACATTCGGTATTTACAGGACGCAAAGTAAGTCTAAGTGGAAAAACTGAGCATTTCACTAGCAAACAGTTAACAGTTTTTAACACAGAAAACTGTTAAACAGAGCATCTACTGCGTGAGAATGAGAGATAATGGAACTACTTTCACTTTCACTCTTGGATAGGGAAACCTTTACGCACAGACATCAATTAGCCAATAAATAATTAATTGCGTTTGTTAAGCACATGAACAATAATAACGAAGTGTGTTCAAAAACCTGAGTTATATCCTAAAACACATGCTGTGCCCCATATTGTCTAAAGCCTGACAGGTGGACAAATCTAAGCTTGTTTTTAATAAAACAAATATAAATATGGATATAATAAATAATACTGCTAATAATAATAACATTATACAAAAGCAAATTGTTATGAATGAACTGAAAAGGCCTCCCATATATATATATATATATATTTTTTTTTTTTTCAATTTATTGAATTATTTAATTTATTTTTTGTGAGGTAAAAAAATAAAAGGGGGCCCTTGGATTTGCTATAGCCCAAGGGCCCAATGTGTTCTTAATCCGGCTCTGAATATATGGATTTATCACACAAAACATGGACATGAGCTCAATCATTTTTGGTGATTGGTCAACATCGCCCAACCCTAGTTGGCAGCTCATTCCCCTTTGCCGACCGCTGATAAATGAGGGACTAAGCCAAAAAAAATGAGCAATGACTGATAAATGATAACACACAATATGTTCAGATTTATATATAATATGTATATGTTAATTAATGTTAAAAAAAGTCATTTGTTGTTAGTTGATTTTAACTCAAGGTGCATTAACTAATGTTAACAAGCATGACTTTGAATGTTAATAATGCATTAGTAAATGTCTAAATGTGATTAATAAATGCTGTACAATTAGTTCCTGTTAGTAAAAACATCAACTAATGAAACCGTATTGTAAAGTGTGACTGATAAATTCAATCTTTTCACAGATGCATATGGACATACAGTCAATACACAGACTGAAATGAAAGTCAAAGGAGCTTTTAACTGCTCGGACTGTGGAAGGAATTACAAATATAAATCCGATCTTAACAGCCACATGAGGACTCACACAGGAGAAAGGCTGTTCACGTGCACTAAATGCGGGAAGAGTTTCACAACAAGCGGAAAACTGCATGTGCATATGAGAGTCCACACCGGAGAAAAGCCTTTCGAGTGCAGCCAATGTGGACAAGCCTACAAGAATAATGCAGACCTCATCACCCACAGGAGGGTCCACACCGGAATGAAGCCTTTTAATTGCAAGCACTGCAGGAAGAGTTTCACAAGTAAAGGCGCTCTCAGACACCACCTGCGCTCTCACACTGATAAAAAGCCATTTAGTTGTAGTCACTGCGATAAAACGTTTCTGACAAAAGCTCTATTAAAGCGACACCTGGTTGTTCATACTGCTGCCAAGCCTCATGCTTGCTCTGTTTGCGGAAATACCTTTTTATACCTGCAGAAGTTGAAAGTGCACGAGCTTATTCACACCGGAGAGAAGCCTCACAAGTGCTCGGACTGTGGGAAGAGCTTCAGAACATCAAGCAACCTTAAAATACACCAGAGGATTCACACCGGAGAGAAACCGCATCAGTGTTCGGACTGCGAGAAGAGCTACCCTACTTCGTCAGCTTTGAAGGTTCATCAGAAATCGCACAATAGAGTAATCGTGTGCTCTCAGTGCGGGAGGAGCTTCTCTCGGTTGTCATCCTTGACGAATCATCAGAGAGTTCATACTAGAGTGAACAAAAAGTGATGATGTTTTGTTTAATGCATTGGTGCATTAAACAAAACGTTACTAGATATCTTGGAAACGTCCTTGCAGGTGTGTTTAGGCAAGTCGGAGCTATATTCGAAGGACACCGGCCCTCTAGAACCGATTTTGGACATCCCTGTGTTATGTTGTTAATGTATTGGTTGCACAAACTTGTTTTTCTCATTTTATGCTTTAGCTGCGCTGCCATCTAGTGGTTAATGTTTATGATCGAGCCTTCGCCTCTGGCTTTATGAATGTTACTTTTGAGAAAATGTTTGCATTAAGCACAATTGATTATTGACTAAATGGTATTTAAGAGGACAAAAGGGCCAGTGTCATGGAGAGTTTAGCTCCAACCCTAATCAAACACACCTGAACCAGCTAATCAAACCCTTACTACATAGGTGTCAAAGTCAATTTCTGGAGAGCCGCAGCTCTGCACAGTTTTGCTCCAACTCTATTCCAACACAGCAGATGCAACTAATCAAAGTGTTCAAGATTTTTTTGAACACCTCGATTAGTTGGATCAGCTGCGTTTGATTAGGGTTGGAGCAAAGCTGCAGAGCTTCCTCCAGGAATTGACTTTGACACCTATGCCTTACTACACAGGTGTCAAAGCCAGTTCCTGCGCAGTTTAGTTCCAATCCTGCTTCAAAACACTTAACCTGAAGCTTTCAAACAAGCCTGAAGAACTGAAATAGTTTGATCAAGTGTGTTTAAATAGGATTGGAGCAAAACTGCAGAGCTGCAGCCCTCCAGGAATTGACTTTGATATCTATGCCTTACTAGATATACTAGACTGTCCTGGCAGGTGTGTTGAAGCAAGTTCGGGGTAAATTCGAAGGACTACGGCCCTCCAGAACTGGTTTTGGAAACCCAGTGTTATGTTGTTTATTGCATTGATTGTACAAACTTGTTTGTCTCATTCAAACATCACATGATGTTTTGTTTAGTCCAGAGGTGTCCAAACTCAGTGCTGGAGGGCCGGTGTCATGAAGAGTTTAGCTCCAACCCTAATCAAACACACCTGAACCACCTAATCGAACCCTTACTACATATGCGTCAAAATCAATTCCTGAAGAGCCGCAGCTCTGCACAGTTTTGCTCCAACCCTATTCTAACACAGCAGATGCAACTAATCAAGCTGTTTAAGATTCTTATGAACACCTTGATTTTTTGGATCAGGTGTGTTTGATTAGGATTGGAGCAAAACTGGAGAGCTGCGGCCCTCCAGGAGTTGACTTTGATATCTATGCCTTACTGGATATACTAGAAACGTCCTGGCAGGTGTGTTGAGGCAAGTCGGAGCTAAATTCGAAGGACACCGGCCCTCCAGAACCGATTTTGGACACCCCTGTGTTATGTTGTTTAATGTATTGGTTGCACAAACTTGTTTGTCTCATTCTACACTTTCACTGCGCTGCCATCTAGTGGTTAAAATGTTTAAGATCGAGCCTTCCCCTCTCATTTGGCTTATAAATGTTTATAATTGTTTGAGTTAAGCAGAATTTATTATTGGCTAAATTATATCTGAGAGGTCAAAGTCAATGGTCAGAATATTAGTATGTCTGAGGAAAGCTGATTTATGCAGATTATTAATGTTGAGTTCCGTTTAACACTGTTTATATCTGCGTTTGTAAATCGGTGGCAGCGTCATAAACCTCCATCCGCATAATAAAGGTTTGTTAGTCTGTTTAAAGGAGATGTGTTACGAATATATCTGTTAACCCAGTATATCTGAGTTGTTTATTTATCAGGGGTCACCGCAGCGGAATGAACCACCAACTATTCCGGCATATGTTCTACACAGCGAATGCCCTTCAAGCTGCAACCCAGTACTGGGAAACACTCATTCACGCACACACTACGGACATTTTGGCTTAGAAAATTCATAAGTAGCGCATGAGCTTGGAATTGTGGAGGAAGCCGGAGCACCCGGAGGAAACCCACTCCAACACAGGGAGAACATGCAAACTCCACACAGAAATGCCAACTAATCCAGTCGGGACTTGAACCAGCGACCTTCTTGCTGTGAGGCGACAGCCCTACGCACTCTGCCACCGTGCGCCCCTGAAGAAACAATAATACTAGAAAACATTTATTAATTTTTCTTTGGTTGACTTATTTATCAGGGGTCACCACATCGGAATGAACCACCAACTATTCCAGCATATGTTTTACACAGCGGATGCCCTTGCAGACACAACCCAGTACTGGTAAACACTCATATACTACAGCCAATTTAGTTCTTCAATTCCCCTATAGCGCAAGTGTTTGGGCTGTGGGGGAAACCGGAGCACCCGGAGGAAACCCACACCAACTCGGGGAGAACATGCAAACTCCACACAGAAATGCTAACTGACCCAGCCGGGACTCGAACTAGTGACCGTCTTACTGTGCGCCGACCACTGAGCCACCGTATTAGAAAACATGTACAATATAATTGTGTTTGTTTGGTACTTAAGCAGTTCATATGTGATGTTATTAGCTTGTTTAATATCCGGTGTGCTTTATATATTTGTTGTTTCTCTTCAGTTTAAGCAGGGAATCAGCAACAAGATAAAAGAAGGGCTATGTTTTGGTTTGGAAGATGGATATTTTGTAGATATGACCTTCTGTCAAGCCAATACATGACTTGCACAGCATTATCCAAACAAATATATATATTTATTAAAGAACGGACATACATTTTTCTGTTTAATATCAAAAAGAGTAGAAAAGCAAGTAAAAGTCAGACTCAGATAATGATAATTAATCTAATTACATTCATTCATCCTCCTTCAGCTTAGTCCCTTAATTCATCAGTTTTTGCCACAGCAGGATTAATTGTATGTACAATCGTATGAGTGTGTGTGTGGATGTTTCCCAGAGATGGGTTGCGGCTGGAAGGGCATCCGCTGCGTAAAAACTTGCTGGATAAGTTGGCGGTTCATTCCGCTGTGGCGACCCCGGATTAATAAAGGGACTAAGCCGACAAGAAATTAAATGTATGTACAATCCTAACCACTGACTCCACCAGCAGGTGGCAGCAACGCACCTAGAAGTTGTATTCAATCCAATAAAACTCAAGAAGAACGATTTCAGTGATGCAAAGAACAGATGTGCTGAAGCAGATCAGCGGACTTGCATTATATGTTCTTTTAGACAGACGGTTAGTATTCATTTTCTGAAATTGTTTTATGTTGTTGTTTTTTTTTTTGACAGATTTATTTCGTTTCCCTTCACGCTCGTTTATATATGTATCGTTAACGGGTGTGCCGGTGCCGTAAACAATAGCGGGACAGACTGGGCCGACCTCACAGCATAGACGCAGCGTCATTTTAGCATAACTCACCCTTAATAAAAATAATATTTTCTAATCTTAATTGTTGTATACTTAAAATAAGCGTTTATTTGTCATATCTAGAGCCAGCACATCATGTGGCGCGTTCGTGCTGATCGGAAATTCGCAGTTTTAGCTTTGACCGCAAACCATGATTCAGTCCAAAGCGTATTTTAACAGACTATAGACCTAATTCTATTCAACTAATGATGAAACAAAGCTATTCAGTTGAACAATGCACGTATACGACCACATTAACTGGGAGACAGGCCACGATCTCTATTAGGATCTACTATTAGGATCATTAACATCAGCATTGATCTGTTCTTACGTTTAGAGTTATTTAATGTAGCTACTTTACATTATTTCATATATCATCACTGTACAATATCTAGAGCAGATATGCCCAAAGTTGGCCTGTTGTAACCTTTAATTTGGCCAGTCATCCCATCTGAGAGGAGAGAGAATGATGGAAAGGGGTTGGGGCGAACGCCTTCAACACAGATATCGCCATTTCTAATTTGACGTAATCTTTTTAGCTACTAAAAAGCAGATTGTGATTAAATGTTTCAGTTAAATGTTGTAAATGAATCTGCTTTTTAATACTGTCACACATAGAAGACTATGCAGAAGACATCATTAAGGAAATCAAGGCAAAAACTAGTGTAATTCTGTTATAAATGAGATTGTTTTGTTTTTACTGTTATAAGTTCATTATAAAATGTACAAAATTCTGTATTACTTAATATAAGGCAATGTTTTGTAGTGATTTTTAAGCGTTATTAAATAAATTACTAAATTACCCATGGCAACAATATATGCTTTTCCAGGGATGTTCCAACATGTGGAACTTTCTGGATTCTCAGAAGCTTTGGAAAAGAAAGATCTAAAACTGGAAATACATTAGGACCATGTTAACATCCCTTAAAATAGTCTATGGATAAGGATTCTTGATGCAGCACCGCCTGAGGGATCAGAGAGCTTTAGTTTACGCATGTGCCCTAGTCTTTTATGCACTGAAATTCCTCCAGATCCCTTAAATCTTTTATTGATGTTCTGCACTGTTGAAAGTGAAATATCCAAATGTCTTCCTCTTTTTTCTTTGAGGAACATTGTTTTTAAACATTTCAATCATTTTCTCACATATTTGTTGGCAAACTGGCGATCCTCTGCCCATCTTAGCACCTAAAGGACTAGACCTTTGTTGGATGCTGCTTTTGTATCAAATAATAATCACAATCTTCATCACCTGTTTCACGTCACATCATTATTTCACCAGTTTACCTGATTACTAGCCCTAAACTGCAACTGTCTTAACTTCTTTTTTTTTTTGGGATGTGTTGCAGGTCTGAATGACAGGAAAGGATGTATATTTACAAATGAAATGAAGTTGACCAGATAAAACATGAAATATTTTGTTCATATCATCTGCAATGAAATTTAAGTCACAGTAAAGTTGGAAATCACTAGTTTTTTTTTTCATTTGAGTCTTCCATACTGTCCCAAATTTTCTGATTTGGGGTTGTAACTCAGATGCTTTAACTGAAAACTTTCCTCAGGTCTGACGTAGGGCTGGGCGATTTGGCAAAAAAAAAAAAAAAAAAAATCTAGTTTTTTTTTAATAAAGTTTGACCGATTCACGATTTAGATTTTTTTTTTTTTTTTTTTTTTTTTTTTTTTTTTTTTTTTTTTTTTTAGTGTGTTACTAGTTTTCTCAAAACATTACAACAACATGACCGAAGTAACATTCTCTGTAAAAGTAACTTGAAAAACCATCTGGTTAAGGAACATTGTATTTTGAATGGCCATGCCATACAAAAATGGGTCAAGGTGTAAATAAATGTAAAACAAATTCACGATTTAAATAGCGTTAGAAATATTTGTGTAAATAATGCAATTGTAGGAATACAGAGGTATTTTTTGCAAGTTTTGCTGAGCCTAGGAGAGATTGGCTGTCATCTCGGCTTTGACTTTGTCTTCTGACTGAATGTCAGGTTGTAATGCTGCTGCCTTTTTCTTAAAAAGATACAGTGGAAGAAAAGGACTGAACATGGAAACTGTAAAGCCTAATTTAACCCAATGTGTGAAGTTGTGGACGTATAGCAGGAGCAAATACAAGTACCAGATGTGTGTCTAATATAAAATAATATAGTTAATCTTATTTTCTTATTCCCCCCGTTTAAATACAGATCATTTTATGCGCTTTGCTCCACTCCCTGTATTATGCTGCCTGATCTGTCTGGTTTCCAGCTAGGTCCGCTAAATGATGTCATGGGGGCGGCTACTTTCATTTTCACTGCTACAATCCCTCACTTCTACTCGTGTTCAAACCAAAAGATCACCGCGGTTTTTCACATGGCAGGCTTTTACGTCCTTCATACATGTTGAGATCGAGTTTATCGACTTGATAAGGGAATATGTCTTGACAATCCACACAGACGTGACTCTGGTTGAACACCAGAAGCGGCGCGACACGGCGCGCACATGACAGTTTAAACTATCACACACCGAACGCGCACATTCGCATGATATTTAACATGAAACTAATCAGATGGCGCTCTGTGGCGCGGCTGAAATATGAACTGCTTCGTAAATCGTGGCTGGGCGGCGCCGGTGTGTGTATCCGCTTGTTAAGTGGTGACGTGTTTGTGACGTATGTATACTGTTTCCGGGTCCAAGCCGCCACTCATTTGAGCGGAGAAATCATTTGTTTATGATTGCGTTTTATTCCTATCACGCATTAAAGTTAATTTTACATAAAGTCATAGTGTACACAACCATCTCTGGGCTTGCTGCATAACAAATACCAAAAATGTAACAATTTATAAAAAAATGAATCACTTTCTGGCCATCGAATATTAGGCATGGACATATATACTGCGATCGTGACTTTCGAAAGCCTTAAATCGCTTTGTAAATGTTTATTATTACCATTTCATGAGTCTCCCCATTCAGTTGAATAGATCGCTTGGACCCGGAAGCCGCTTCGCGTGACGTCACACTTAACAAGCGGTATCCGCTTGTTAAGTGTGACGTCATGCGAAGCTCGCTGCGTGGTGCTGCGCGTCGCCGAGAGGCGCTTCTGGTGTGCTTCCTGCTTCATAGAGTGAACCAAAGCGCATTGGTGCCATTATAATGTATTGAATATATATTTTTTAAAAATCGCAATTTCTCGATTTAATATTAAATTAAATCATCGTCAAAACGTAAATTCGAATTAATCTAAAAAATCGGAAAAATCGCCCAGCCCTAGTCTGATGCTAAACTAATCAACTCTAAGGGTGTCACGATCTTCCAAATCCTCGATTCGATTACATTTTCGATTCTAAAGTCACGATTCGATTCGATTCGATTTTCGATTATGAATAATTAATTAATTAATGACCAATTAATTATTTGTAGCCTACCGTTTAAACTACCTGACCTGTATAGTCTTTGTTTTACCCATAAACAAATCATACAGTAAATGAATAAAGGCAAGATACACACATAATTACCACCTGTCAATCACTTTTTCTGCGGGACTCGTGAATAGGCAGTGATCTGTGTCGTTATAATGGCGTCGGTAAAAAAGACGCACAACCAACAGGAACCAGCCAACAGTATCTGAGGTGTTCGCTAAAATGACTAAGTACAAGTGAGTGAAAGATTGAAGCAGTCCTCTGACAGCCTGGACGTGCTGTCTCGAGCGCATGGCTGTGTGTGCGTCTGTGTCTGTGTGGTCACGTGATGTGCATTTTCAGAGGTAGAGAGTATGGAGGGCTGCTCAGAAATGCTACACGCCACTGTGGATGTCAAATCGTTGTCGTTCTAAAATGCCATTTAAAAACAAAGACAGTGTAAACAGGGCCTGAGTGTGTACGTTTCGCGAGCGGATTTGCAACGGGGGCGGGCGGAGGATCGCGATGCCGGTGTTGTCTATCGGACGAACCGTACGTAATACGTACATAGCAGAGCTTGTTGTCAATGTTGTCAACATAACTCACTGGAAATCCAAAATGCTTCCACACCGGCGACTTCATTGAAAGAGGAGAGGGTTTAAGCTCTGTCGACGGGTCTCCTGCTTCTGCAGTTTAACAAGCACTTCAACAAGCCTGTTTTTTCCCGCTTGGCAAGCCAAGCTGACGTGACATGGGGGCGTGGCAGCATCAACGATTCTATTTTTTGATTCGATAATCGAAGTTGAGCATAAATTTCGATAGTGACACCCCTAATCAACTCATCCACATATTTTAACATGATGAGAGTTTAAATGCTGAGGAATATTCCCGTGTTCCCACAGCTGAAGAAGCAGCAAACAGGAGGAATTACTTCAGGATAAACAACTGACATACTGTAGTGAAGATGGAGATTGAGGAAGAACCCTGCACAATACAAGAGGACGAACCCTTCATGATAAAAGAAGAGGAGACCGAGGAACTAATAGGTTGGTGTTTTCAATCGTTCTCTTCATTAACCGATAAAAAAACATGAACATTTAGATTAAATGAGTTGCTTTTTATTTATCATGTATCCTTCTTTCATATCAATAATTAAATCCATTGATTAGGGACTGAATAAGAACTAATCTTTTCACAGATGAGGAAGGATATACATTCAGTTCACAGACTGAGGAAGGATATACATTCAGTTCACAGACTGAGCCAACGTTCAGACAGAAAATGTCCGGGTGTTTCTGCTGCCCCGAGTGTGGGAAGTGTTACAAATATAAAGACAGCCTTAGCAGACACATGAAAGTGCACACCGGAGAAGGCCTGTTCACGTGCATTTCATGCGGGAAGAGTTACACCGAGAAAGGAGCGCTGGAATCGCACATGAGATTTCACACGGGGGAGAAACCGTTCGCGTGCACTTTGTGCGGACAGAGCTACACGCGTAAAACAGACCTCAAGAGACACATGAGGATTCACAGCGGAGAAAGACCCTACAAATGTCCTCAGTGTGAGCAGAGCTTCACGTCTAAAAACGTTCTCAAGGATCATCTGAGCCGTCACATCGGAGTGAAGGCGTTCAGCTGCGACCAGTGCGATAAAACATTCGTCACGGCGTCGAACTTGAGGAAACATCTCAAAGTTCACACCGGCGAAAAGCCTCATTTGTGTACTCTGTGCAAGAAGTGCTTCTCACGACCGGAGCACTTGCAAGTGCACCTGTATATCCACACCGGAGTGAAACCGCATGTGTGTTCAGACTGCGGGAAGAGCTTCAAAACACCCAGCAACTTAAAATCCCACCAGAAGACGCACAGCGGAGAGAAACCGTTCAAGTGTTCGCACTGTGAGAAGAGTTTCACTTTTCCAGGAAACCTGAAATATCACGAGAGAGTTCACACTGGGGAGAAGCCCTATAAGTGCTCCACGTGTGGGAAGAGCTTCGGTTTTTTGGCCAACGTACGAGCTCATGAGAAAAAAAACCTGTGCAAAAAGCCAGCGAGTTCAACTCCGAGTGAGCAAAGCACTTCAAACGAAGGCGAAAGTTCTGAAAAACCTGAAAAATCCGAAAAATCTCCCTGAAGAGAAGCTGGTTTATATAAAGACGAGGTCTTTATTATGAAGCCGTCTCTGAATAAATATGTATGTAGTCTTTGTATTTAGTTCAGTTTAACAGGCTGATCGTTTACATCAGGATGTTGTAAATTAGTGCTAAAATCATATTGAAGTAATTAAACTGGCGATGCATTTAGAAGATGTTCAAAAAGACTTGTCTAGGACGTCTTAAAACAGTACTCTGAGGAAAAAAAAGATGAATAAAACAATAATAATAATAATCTATTTTCGTTTGTTTGTTTGTGAAACTCTTAGCAATTAACGTTTATTCGTTGGTGATTCTGTAGTTTTCTTAAATGCGTCGTTTATTTTAATTGTTAGTTTTTTTATGTACACCCACCGGCCACTTTATTAGGTACACCTGTCTAACTGCTCGTTAACACAGATTTCTATTCAGCCGATCACATGGCAGCAGCTCAATGCATTTAGGCATGCAGACATGGTCAATATGATCTGCTGCAGCTCAAACCGAGCGTCAGAATAGGGAAGAAAGAGGATTTAAGTGACGTGGCATGGTTGTTGGTGCAAGACGAGCTGGTCTGAGTATTTCAGAAACTGCTGATCTACTGGGATTTTCACGCACAACCATCTCTAGGGTTTACAGAGAATGGTTCAAAAATATCCAGTAAGTGGCAGTTAATGGTGTCTGGGATATTTTCTTGGCACACTTTGGGCTAGTTAGTACCAATTGAGCATCGTGTCAACACCACAGCCTACCTGAGTATTATTGCTGACCATGTCCATCCCTTTATGACCACAGTGTCCATCCCTTTATGACCACAGTGTCTCCATCTTCTGATGGCTACTTCCAGCAGGATAGCGCACCAGATCATAAAGATTTCTTGAACATGACATTGAGTTCACTGTGCTTAAATGGCCGCCACAGTCACCAGAGCTCAATCCAATAGAGCAGCTTTGGGATGTGGTGGAACGGGAGATTGGCATCATGGATGTGCAGCCGACAAATCTGCAGCAACTGTGTGATGCTATCATGTCAATATGGAGCAAAATCTCTGAGGAATATTTTCAGTATCTTGTTAAATCTACGCCATGAAGGATTAAGGCGGTTCAAGGGGATCCAACCCAGTACTAGTAAGGTGTACCTAATAAAGTGGCCGGTAAGTGTATATTGTAACTGATGACTATGGCGAGCTTTATTGTCATCCGAATATACTTGTGTACACAGAAGGAAATTTTGTAGCATTGGCTCTGCAGTTTCTGTAAAGAATAACACTAAACTATTAATAAGTTAATGAATAATATAGTTTACCAATAATAATATACACAGCAGCTGGCTGAAGGTCATTATTGTCAGGTGAATTTAGTGCAAATCATAACAGTGCACATACACTACCTGACAAGAGTCTTGTGGTAGATCTCAGTTGTAAGAGCAACAAATAATAACTTGACTTCTAGTTGATCATTTAAAGTGTCAGAAGGTGGATTCCTCTGATGAATCACCTGTTGAACTGCATCACAATCATAACCAAAACTGCAGAAGACCTACTGGAACCAGCATGGAGCCAAGATTCACACAGAAATCAGTCAAGTTTGGTGAAGGAGAAATCATGGTTTGGGGTTACATTCAGTATGGGGGCGTGCGAGAGATCTGCAGAGTGGATGATCAACATCAACAGCCTGAGGTATCAAGACATTTGTGCTGCCCATTACATTACAAACCACTGGAGAGGGACAATTCTCCAGCAGGATAGCGCTCCTGCTCATACTTCAGCCTCCACATCAAAGCTCCTGAAAGTAAAGAAGGTGCTCCAGGATTGGCCAGCCAAGTCACCAGACATGAACATTATTGAGCATGTCTGGAGTAAGATGCAGGAGGAGGTGTTGAAGATGAACACAAAGACTCTTGATGAACTCTGGGAGTCCTGCAGGAACGCTTTCTTTGCCATTCCAGATGACTTGATTAATCAGTGATGTGAGTCATGTCAGAGATGTATGGATGCAGTCCTCCAAGCTCATGATGGAGTCAGACACAATATTCATTCTGTCTCCACTGCAGCAGGACTTTATATTCTATACTGGACATTATTTCTGTTCAGTGATGAGACTTTAGTCAGGTAGTCTTTTTCTAAAATTTCTTTTAAACCTCTTTTAATCTGATCTGATTTTATTTACTTGTAATCTTAGTAAGTTTTACTTCTTATGCCTGTTGTACTTTATATTCCTTTTATTTAATTTTTTTAACTAAAGCACATTGAATTATCCTGGTTTGTTTTAAATAGTATATGTTATATATATATATTTATATTATATATATATTTATATTTATATTATATATATATATATATTTATTTATTTATATATATATATTTTCTTTTTTCATTCCTTATAAACTTGTTTTAACCCATTAAAACAGATTAGAAGGGTGTTAAAACAGGTTTGAAAGGAGGGGAAATTACACCAATATATAGAAAAACATAGTTGTTATAGTTGTACTTTATATTCCTTTTATTTAATTTTTTTAACTAAAGCACATTGAATTATCCTGGTTTGTTTTAAATAGTATATGTTATATATATATATATATATATATATATATATATATATATATATATATATATATATATATTTATATATATATATTTTCTTTTTTCATTCCTTATAAACTTGTTTTAACCCATTAAAACAGATTAGAAGGGTGTTAAAACAGGTTTGAAAAGAGGGGAAATTACACCAATATATAGAAAAACATAGTTGTTATTTTTATTTCTTATACTTGTTGTATTTAATAGTTCATTTATACTTGTTTATGTAAAGCACTTTGAGTTACAATTACCTATGAAATGTGCTATATGAATAAACATGCCTTGCCTTGCTATATTTCTCCCAGTAAAGCAGTTTGCATTAATAACACGCTGCCTTAATTTATTCTGATTGGTCATCTAACTTTTCCGTATATAGTTTCCCAGATATTAATTGCTAAAACTAATAACACAGGCTCATCTGAGTACTTTGAATCATCCTGGCTGTCTGTAAATCCATTCACTCCCATATTTATATGCTTGTTACTGCTGTTTTTGAGTGTTTGGCGCCATCTAGTGTCTGAATAATACGTAGGTTAGTGTTTGCTCCATTCAGCCGTTTTCATTTCTTTCAGCTTTGCCTTTAATTGAAGAATTAATAAACTCTTATGGCTGAGAACAATGTTTTGTGTCTTTTTTGTGTTAAGTAGCCATGCAATAAGTGGGATAAAGTACATCCAGATGGTTTTCACAGAATAAGGCCCTTCAGTCTTATTAACTTATGTAAATATAGTCTTTGTAGAGGATTTATTCTGCGATGAGAGCATTAAAGCTGTTTTTTTGTGTCAGTAAATGAATTCATATCTCTAAATTAATATCACTGAGACTTTCATATCAGGTTTAATTGTAATTTTTCCTTACACTATAGAATACTGTGATGTAGTGGTGATGTTGGCAATGCGATTGGCTGTGTTTGAAAAGGGGGAGGAGCTATTATTATCCCGCCCTGTTTTTGTTGCAATTGAGATTATGAAAACATTTAATTAAAAAATCTGAATCAGAATTAAATGTATTGGCCAAGGACTTATTTTATGGGTTATGAGAGCTCAGGTTACCAACACAAGTGAATATTGACAATTATATGAATGGGAAAGTAAACTAAATTGTAAAAATTATATATATATATATATATATATATATATATACCTATTATATACGCTAGGTTTATGTGCAATATGTTTATTGTTGGCTGTTTTAACTATATAAATGAATAAAAATATGTATTTACAATTAAGTGGATTTTTGATTATAGAAACCATAAACACAGTAATGGTGTTGTATTGTTTATGGCCATAAAATACAGGTGATACAACTGATGTGCTAGCTATTTAAGTTGGTTATTGCCCGAGGGAAAAAAAAAAAAAAAAATATATATATATATATATATATATATATATATATATATGTTCTTGTTTATTTATGTCTGCATTATGTTTGTGGTTTTCAAGGGCGTATTTTGCGCTTGGCATTGGTGGGGACTGGGGTGAATACAAACCCCCCACACCCCCGCCAAGAATGAATATTGTTTATTTGTATGTGTATGTATATATGTATATATATATATATATATATATATATATATATATATATATATATATATATATATATATATATATGTATGTGTGTGTGTGTGTGTGTGTGTGTATATATGTGTATAGCTCTATATATATATATATGTGTGTATAGCTCTCTCTCTATATATATATATTTTTTATATATATATATATATATATATATTTATATATATATATTGCTATTTATTATTTAACTGCTATTAAAATGTATTATTAAGTAACCCTCTCTAATTACAATTTATTAAGTTAAATTAAATAGTCATGCGCATAGCCAAGGGGGGTCAGGTGGTTTGAAAGACCAAAAGTTGGATTATTATTATTATGTTTGAATTTATCTTATTATTTAAATGGATAAATTCTCACTGAGGAAGGTTGAATGCGCTGGCTAGTTTTTTATTTGCCTATAGGCTTCAGTTTTTAATTTAAATCAAGTTTTAACAGATTTCCCAAAGAAAATTATGATAAAAAAAATAGTATTTTAAAAATAAGTATATTTACACATTTGAAGAGTTTAGATGCAAAAACCTCTAAATGCCATTTAATATTTTCTTGTAAAATGAGCATTTTTCTCCAACTCCTGTGTGTGGACTCTGTGATTTTACTTTTATAGTGACAAATACATTATTTTTGATGTCTTTAAAGTGAAATAACTGGACATAAATATACGAGGCTGAGAAAAATGCTCATTTTACATGGCATTTAGAGGTTTTGGCATCTAAACATTTCTTTATTCTAAGAATTTAAAGTTCTAATTTCAAATTCGAAGTATTTTTATTATTTATAAAACTGTAATAAAACTTACAGTTTAAATGTGTAAATAAAGCAATTTGACATAAATGGTATAGGGAATAGTTTTGGTACATCAAACAGTGTAGTTATAATAACTATCCAACAAGATTATCCAGCAAAAATTAGTTCCTAATATGTCACTAAAATTTCATATTTATACCTCAGGTGAATAACTGCAAAAAGGTTCCGTTTTTTTTTAGAAAACAACCTGTCCTTTCAATAAGCTGGCTACAGGCCTGAAAGTGTATGTTAAAATAATGTTTATTAACTGATAAAGAGAGAGTTTAATAAAGACTTTCGTTCATTTTTCGTACAAATTAAACATGTCTCATCGTATTATTAAAAGATGGAGCACAGGCTGTAGTTTTTCTGAAAAATTGTTTCAACCAAAATTGGAGATGTTACTCTAAGAATTTTTTTTTTGTATTCTTTGTTTTTTTGTGCAAACACAGTACAGCCCTTTTTCTGTCTGCATTGAGAGCTCTGATTAGGCACGTGCGGGAGTGAGTAACTGTGGATATGTAGACCCACACGGAACATTTTAAACGTTGCACAGAGCAGGTTCGGTGCTGAAGCAGGTGGTAAGTACTGGTAATCCAACTCCCCCCGAAGTTATTTATAAGCAATTTCGACTAATTGTGCTTTACGTTTTACTTCACGCTTTATTTATATTATCAATTAAAATAATATAACGCTCGACATTCTTGTTACATCCTTAATATTGTCTGTTTTAATAATTATAATAACAGACGCTGCTTCACTGATTGTGTTTCTAAATCATAATGGCTTTGTAAACTATTGTATTGTTGTTGATAATGTTGTTGTATTCCAAAACCGAATAAAGATACTCTTTACTTGGATATATGGCGTCCAATTACGCTACTCAACTCCGATTACAAATTACTAGCATCATTATATGCTACTAGGTTAAAACCATGTGTGGAGGAAATCATATCTCTCTCCCAATCTGGATTTATGAAGGGAAGAAATATTTCAAATAATATTAGATTGGTTTTAGATCTGTTGGATTACTCAGAGTTAGTAAATGAGGAGGCTTTAATTTTATTTTTAGATTTTTACAAGGCCTTTGATACAGTTGAACATAGTTTTATGTATCAGACACTTAATTGTGGCCCAATATTTTAAAAAAATGATGAAGACATTTTATTATAATATTTCAAGTAGTGTTTCTTTATCCAGTGGTACTTCTTCTCGTTTTATTATTCGGAGAGGCATAAGACAAGGGTGCCCAATTTCACCATTTTTATTTTTATTAGTTGCAGAAACCCTAAATCTATATACTATACATTGTTCTCAAATTAAAGGTATTGAAATAGGAGGTACCACATTAACTATCAGTCAACTTGCAGATGACACCTGTTTATTTTTGAAAAATAAAGATCAGGTCCCAGTTATTTTGAAGGCTTTTAAGCTGTTCTCTGATGCATCAGGTCTATTAGTTAATCAATCCAAAAGTGAAATAATGGCTGTACACCAAATAGACTATTTAAGTATAGCGGGAATACAAGTTAAAAAGACAGTAAGATATTTAGGTATTGTAGTTAATAAATCAACCTCAGAACGGATTACAGACAACTTTTCACAAAGGCTACAAAAGACAAAAAATATCTTTAATTGCTGGCTTCAAAGGAATTTATCAATTCAAGGTAGAGTGCTGATCTCAAAAGCTGAAGGTATTTCCAGACTTGTATACCCTGCACTGTCTCTTTATGTAGATTCTAAGATGTGTACCACAATTGAGAAAGTTTTATTTAAGTTTATTTGGAGAGGCAAAACAGAGTATGTTAAAAGAATAATTAGGAATATATCAGAAGGAGGATTAAATGCATTAGATTTTGAAACTATTAACAATATCTTTAAAATCAATTGGATCAAAAATTGTCTTCATAACAATAATTCCTTATGGTTCTCTATCCCAAATCTTATCTCTGAAAAATGTGGTGGCCTACACTTTTTGCTAACTTGTGATTTTAAGTGTTCTAAAATTCCTATTAAGATGTCAAATTTTCATAAACAAGCCTTGAATACATGGAAACTGATTTATAAGCATAACTTTTCCCCCCACTCATGTATTATCTGGAACAATCAGTTTATTTTATTTAAAAACAAGTCCATATTTTGGAATGATTATGTTAAAAAAGGAGTAATTTTTGTTACAGACTTATTAAATTGTGTAGGGGATTTATATGATTACAATGAATTTATTAATAATTTTGGTTTAAAAATTACTTTGATTGAATACAAAAAAATTGTTCATTGTATTTCCCCAAAATTACTTCACCTTATTAAAACCGCAAAAATATATAACCATGTATCTGGCTCTCACCCAGAGCTTACTATTAAGGGCCTTTCTATCAAGGATAAAAAATGTAATAACAATTATATCAGGAATATCCTAACTGCAGATAAAAGTGTTCCTCCAATTGCAATGGTTAAATGGAAACAAGCATTCCCTTTATTCTTCTTTTCCCCAAAAATCTGGTCAGATATTACAAAATACAAAATTCCTAATAAAGTAAAAGAAACAAATTTTAAAACATTACATAGATATTATCCATGCAATGATTTTATAAGTAAGTTTAAGGAAGGTTTTTCACCCTTGTGTTGTTTTTGTAAAATGGAACCGGAAACAATTCTTCATTTATTTTTCAGTTGCAGATACACAAAACAGTTTTGGTCCCAAGTTTCCTCACTACTTTTTGAAGTGTTTTATAAATTAATCAGTATAACTGAGCAAATGTTTTTTTTTTACGGATTGCAACTCTGGATTACTGGAAATGGACAAAATAGCAAAAATTCTTATTTTATTTGGAAAGTATCACATCCACAAAACAAAATGCATGCTGACTGTACCAAATTGTAAACTATTTTTCATTGATCTAAAACTTTTTTTATGATTCCCTCACTGCTATACAAAGTAATACCAAAGCTATTAAGACATCTCAACTACTGGAAAAAATACTTAATGTACACGATTAATTTTTGTTGTTAATTCCATTGTATACTGTTTAATGTATAACTCTGTACATCCCTGTTTGTTCAATAAAAAAAAAAAAAGATTTCAATCAAGTCAACAACACAGGTACGGAAAACCGTCTCATTTTCAACACTGCTCATTTCATTCATATTCAGATGAAATGTTTAATTTAATGCACTTTGATATTTTTCAAAATAAATATATGCAAAATGTAAAAAAAAAAAAAAAAACGTTACTAAAAATGGATCATTTCAATTTATGCATGTATTTATAGGTTAATTTGTCAGGGACAGTGTGCATCAGTTACTAGCATTGCTGCAAATGCAGGTAGAATGCTATTATTATTTGTTGTCTATTAAAAGATGGTGAAATTGTCTCCCTAAAAACAAAACAAGAATTATACAATGAACAAAGCAATTGTAAAAGAGGACTAAAACAGATTTAGACATCCTGATAAATAGTTTATATCCTCCTGAGACCCAAATAATTTTTTTTTCCTTATTTATTCTGTGATTTAAATTAAAAAATATATATATTTCTGGGTTAAAAAAATTCTACAATTTAGAGTTTTTACATTTTTGTTTTTATTTTTAAATTTACAGCATGTCTACTATAGTGGACCACAGGACCATTTTAGTTCGAAACGACCGCCAAACTTTTATTTAGCGGCTGAATGAGTGCATCATCCTGGTAATTAAAGTGCACTTATTATTTTTAAAGTTTTCAGTGTGAACACACTACTTACACTATTTACACTACAAAATGGCGTAGAATAGTGTATGCGATTTGGGACGCAGCTTATGAATTCGGACATGCTACTTGGCTCACATACTGATTTTAGTGTACTATATAGTATGGAAGTTTGCGGTTTTGGACGCAGCCATGTTACGTTGTTCTAATTGATTACTTTCTCCTGTCTTAATTGAAATTAAAATCATTTGTTTCTGCTTTTCACAGGTTTAGTGAATATCTCACAGCAACCAAACCCTCACTAATATTCATTCAGCTGTAGTTTAATCTGCTGTGGTTGATGAATGCTAATCAATGTGTTGACGATCTGCTTAACGAGCTCAATCCACAGGTGAAGCCGCTCTCAGAGTCGTTCATGAGGGTTTAAATGCTGAGGAATATCGCCATCTTCGTTCAGCTGAAGAAGCAGCAAACAGAAGGAATTGCAGGAGAAACAACTGACATACTATAGTGAAGATGGAGATTGAGGAAGAACCCTGCAGAATAAAAGAGACAAAGAAACAAACAGGTTTGTGTTTACATTCTTCCTCTTTAGCCCTTGTGTATTATTCAAATTGACTCCCCTTTCGTTCTGTTGGTGGCTGTTTTTGCCCCGTTGACTTCCATTATATTCACTGCAAAGTCACGACAGTATATAATCATGCTTTTTTTTTTTTTTGATTGTTTGTGGTTTCCTTGTTGGGAAGAGGAACAATAGGTTATTTTTTACTGTTGTTCATCAGATGGCAGCATTACTCCTTTGGATAGGCCTGTGCAAATAGCTTGCTGGCTTTTATATGGAGGTAAACAGAAGATTATAATGTGTTTACTGTGTTGTGAGAGCTGAGGGGTGTATTTAGATTTTTCTCAGAAAAATCAAGGTAAGTACACACACTATACTTCATATAAAAGCCAGGAACTAAGCTTTTTTTGCACTGTAACTGTTGATAAACAGTAAAAATTGCTATAAATGTTAGCGTCACATTGACAGCCTCCACACTGCCATGTCACCCTGCAGCCCAAGACCGGTTACTCACTGAAGCTAAGCAGGGCTGAGCCTGGTCAGTACCTGGATGGGAGACCACTAGGGAAAACTAGGTTGCTGTTGGAAGTGGTGTTAGTGAGGCCAGCAGGGGGCGCTCAACCTGTGGTCTTTGTGAGTCCTAATGCCCCAGTGAAAGTGAAGGGGACACTACACTGTCAGTGGGTGCCGTCTTTCGGATGAGACGGTAAACCGAGGTCCTGACTCTCTGTGGTCATTAAAAATCCCATGGCACTTCTCGTGAAAGAGCAGGGGTGTAACCCCGGTGTCCTGGCCAAAGTCCCTCTATCGGCCCTTACGATCATGGCCTCCCAATCATCCCCTTCCACTGAATTGGCTCTATCACTGTCTCTCCACTCCTTCAATAGCTGGTGTGTGGTGAAGCACTGGCGCCGTTGTCCTGTGGCAGCCGTCACATCATCCAAGTGGATGCTGCACACTGGTGGTGGTGTGGAGAGACCCCCCTCATGATTGTGAAGCGCTTTGGGTGTATGGCCATACACAATAAATGCGCTATATAAATACACATTACATTACATTACATTACACTCCCTGGACCGGTGTAGCAGTCGATTCTGTTCCCCTTGGAATGTCTGTTCCCCTTTATGCAATGTATGCTAGATTATTTCCAAATGTTCAATAAAATTGCTAATGTTACCTCTTCCCAGCAGGGAAAACCACCAACAATCAAGAATGCATGATTATAGGGTGCCTTTGCAATCAAATAAAGTCATTATAATGGAAGTCAATGGGGCAAAAACTGCCCCGAACATAACGAAAGAGTAGCACATTTGCTCAGGTTGTATTGAGCCTTTAAAAACTTTCAAAGCGTTTTCTCAAAATATGTGTGAAAATTAGACTTGTCAGCAAAAATAATCCCATTTGCTGAAACCCCGGAAAGGTTGTGGCCAAATTAAGACTCCAAATCCCCCCAGAGTGGATGAAAACATCCCCAACAGCACACAAGGGATAATAACTGATGAGCAAACACATTTCTTTTAATCTGTTTTTATATTTGATGGAAATTAAAGACAAACTTCATTTAATAAAGCTAATCTTTTCACAGATAAACATGGAAATGCAGTCAGATCACAGACTGAAACACAAAAACAAGCTGGAAAAACAGGATCTTTCCCCTGCTCCGAGTGTGGAAAGACTTACAAATATAAATCCGATCATACCCGACACATGAGATTTCACACTGGAGAAGGCCTGATGCATTGCACCGAATGCGGAAAGAGCTTCACGCACAGAGGAAAGCTGGACGTGCACATGAGGATTCACACTGGGAACAAGCCGTTCACATGCTTGGATTGTGGAAAGAGTTTCACATCTAAACCCGTTCTCCTAAACCACCAGCTCTCTCACAGCGGAGAGAAGTCGTTCAGCTGCGATCACTGCGCTAAAACATTCGTGTCTGCGTCAAGATTGAGAGCACACCTTTATGTCCATGCGACGGTGAAGCCACTCGCTTGCTCTTTCTGCGGAAAGACTTTTTTACATTTGCAGAAGTTGAAAGTGCATGAGCTTATGCACACCGGAGAGAAACCGCACGTGTGTTCAGACTGCGGGAAGAGCTTCGCAACATCGAGCAACTTCAAAACACACCAGAGGATCCACACTGGAGAGAAACCGTATCAGTGTTCGGACTGTGGGAAGAGTTTCCGTCAGTCATCGCGTCTGAAAACTCACCAGAGGAGTCACACTTGAGGAAAGCTCTATTAGTGCACTATTCTGAAATGAAGGCGAGCTCCGTTCATTCAGGTTTTGTTTTATTGATGTGTTACTTTAGGTCTTAAACTAGATTCCTTGAGAGCGCCGCACAGTTTTGCTCCAACCCTAGTCAAACACAGAAGATGCAAATAATCAAGATGTTCGAGATTAAGCTGGCGTGAGTTGGAAGTGGTTGGAGCTGTACAGGGTGGGCCATTTATATGGATACACCTTAATAAAATGGGAATGGTTGGTGATATTAACATCCTGCTTGTGTCATTAGTATATGTGAGAGGGCAAACTTTTCAAGATAGGTAGTGGCCATTTTTAAGTCGGCCATCTTGGATACAACTTTTTGTTTTTTTTCTATAGGAAGAGGGTCATGTGACACATCAAACTTATTGGGAATTTCACAAGAAAACAATGGTGTGCTTGGTTTTAATGTAACTTTATTCGTCCATGAGTTATTTACAAGTTTCTGACCACTTATAAAATGTGTTCAATGTGCTGCCCATTGTGTTGGATTGTCAATGCAACGCTCTTCTCCCACTCTTCACACACTGATAGCAACACTGCAGGAGAAATGCCAGCACAGGCTTCCAGTGTCCCTAGTTTCAGGTGCTGCACATCTTGTATCTTCACACCATAGACAATTGGCTTCAGATGACCCTAAAGATAAAAGTCTAAGGGGGTCAGATTGGGAGATCTTGTGGGCCATTCAACTGGCTCACAATGATCAATCCACTCCTCAGGAAACTGTTAATCTAGAAATGCTCGGACCTGACACCTATAATGTAGTGGCGCACCATCTTGCTGGAAAAAAACTTGGGGAATGTGCCAGCTTCAGTGCATAAAGAGGGAAACACATCATCATGGAGCACTTTCAAATATCCAGTGGCCTTGACGTTTCCATTGATGAAGAATGGCCCCACTGTCTTTGTTGTCTATGATGTGACGATACAAGATGTGCAGCACCTGAAACTAAGGATACTGGAAGCCTGTGCTGGCATTTCTCCTGCGGTGTTGCTATCAGTGTGTGAAGAGTGGGAGAAGAGCGTTGCATTGACAATCCAACACAATGGGCAGCACATTGAGCACATTTATAAGGGGTCAAACTTGTAAATAACTCCTAAAAGAATAAAGTTGCGTTAAAACCAAGCACACCATTGTTTTTCCGGTGAAATTCCCAATAAGTTTGATGTGTCACATGACCCACTTCCTATTGAAAAAAACAAAAGTTAGATCCAAGATGGCCGACTTCAAATGGCCAATCACCACCCATCTTGAAAAGTTTGCCCCCTCACATATATTATTGTACCACAAACAGGATGTTAACATCACCAACCATTCCCATTTTATTAAGGTGTATTAATATAAATGGCCCACCGTGTGCTATGCAGAGCTGTGGAATTGAAATTGAGTTTGAGGCCGTTGCTTTAGGTCATAGGTCTCAGTCAATTCCTGAAGGGCCGCAGCTCTGCACAGTTTTGCTCCAACCCTGATCAAACACAGCTAATCCAACTAATAAAGGTGTTCATAAGTCTTTTGAACACCTTAATTATTTGCATCCGTGTTTGATTAGGGTTGGAGCAAAACTGTGCAGAGCTGCGGCCCTCCAGGAATTAACCTTTAGACTATTTCTTTAGGTGTTTTTTTTTTTGTTTTGTTTTTTTCTGAGAAAAACTCTTGAGATTAATGTAAATGCAATGATTGGGTACCTATGCTGGCCAAGAGAGCTTTAATGTGCTGCAATTGAAGAGAACGCATGCAATTACAAATAACACCAGCAAATCAGAAGAGATCTTCGTCGGTTTATGTGTTGCAAATCCTCACAATGCAAACGCACTATGAAAACAGGCTGTGCTTTCTCACAACACATGCAAACAGAAGGGTGGACAATGGAAATGTTGCAAGAGGACCCAATAACATGACTACTCCGGCTATTTAGGTTTGGTTATTTAGGCTAATGATACACAAAAGACAATGGAATGGTGTAATTAGAATGTTAAAATAAATAGTCAAATTTCCAATTTCTACAAGCAATAATCATGGCACAATATCAAATCCCAGCCGGGTTTGTGGCTTTCTTGGGTCCCCTTAAAACATTTTTCCATTGTGTTCCCTGCTATTTGCATGTGTTGTTAGAAATTGTAGCGCATTTTCTTAATTTGTTTGCATTGTAATAATATTCCTCATATTTTCTAAATGTGTTTTACATTACTTAATGTGATTTTAAGATTTTTTTTATGAATTTGCTGGTGTTTATTTTTTTCATTGTAATTCATTAAGCTCTCTCTGCCGCCGTAATTATCAGTGTGAAATGGCTTTATTAATAGTGATATTCTATAGCTATGCTTTCTGAAATGTTCTGTAATGCACTGACTGTACGTACTGGAACTCGGAGAAATAAAATGCAATACATGACTAAAATACTTGGTCTAATTCTTTCAAAATGTACCTGTTTATTTATTTTTGTTCAGGAGTGAGTGAAGAATGGAACGTGAGTGACCAGTGGCAGCAGTAATGCGGTCGTTGTGTAGCGGTCCATTGTGAGCAAAGCCAAAAGATTACCAGTTAATCTACATTCACTGAAAAAAATTATTCAAAGTTGATTCCTTGGATTTACTCAATTTTTTTACGTTAAGTGGTTGTAAACATTTTATTTGTGTTGAATTTAAACAAACAAATTAAGTTGAACGTTATTAAACTTAATTTGTTTAAATTTAACACAAATAAATTGTTTGCAACAGTTCTGCATGCAACACTTTTTTCAGTGTTCTTACACTATGGTCATGAGTAGGGCCAGACAGAATCTGCGGATATTTTTAGTTATTTCTGCTGAAAATTTTGTAAAAAATCTGCTGATTTATTTGCTATGATTTTGGGAGTATTATAACTAAAAACGTTATACACTGAAAATAAATATTCAAAGATGATTCCTTGGATTTTTTTTAATATATATACCTTTAGTGGTTGTAAACAATTTATTTGTGTTGAATTTAAACAAACAAATTAAGTTGAACATTATTAAACTTAATTTGTTTGTTTAAATTCAACACAAATGAATTGTTTGCAACAGTTCTGCATGCAACAATTTTCAGTGTATAAGAAATATTAGCTTTTTAACTTATTTAATGTTCACCATGCAAATCCATCCAGGTCCACTTATTTGGTAAACAAAGCAAGTCTATCATTAATATACATCTACTAAAAGACAGAAAATATTACTTTACATACTGTATTGTGGAACAATCATGTGAATATTTTCATATTAGTCAATAATATAACTGAAATTAAAAGTGGAATAATTATAAATGCACACATTTACACAAGTGAATGGACTCAAGGATGGGCTAAACAAATGTGGAGATCTGCGGATTTCTGTACGCGCAGATTCTGTGTGGGCCTAGTCTGTATATGTGTCTAGTCTTGGACAAGATCTCAGATACAAGCGGCCAAAATGAGTTTCCTTCGCAGGGTGGCAGCAGGACACACTTATAGATAGGGTGAGGAGCTTGGAGTAGAGCCGCTGCTCCTCCACATCAAGAGAGGTCAACTGAGGTGGATCAGGCATCTGTTTCGGATGCCTACCTAGCGAGCTGTTTCAGGCATGGCCCACTGGGAGGAGGCCTCTGGGAAGACCCAGTACACGCTGGAAGAACTGTGTCTCTCGGCTGGCCTGGGAACGCCTTGGGAGAAGGGAAGTCTGGGGTTCTCTCCTGAGACTGCTGCCCCCACAACCCGGCCCTGGAAAAGTGGATGAAAATGAATGATAGGATTTGTAGCTAAATCGTTTGCCCGCAAAGCAGCATTTCACATTGTTTACATCATTGCTACAGCATACCGTTAACGCTAGACACTGTACATGTCATGATCAATTTTATTAAATAAAAACACTTACTTGTAGCTTACAACTTCTGCTTTGAGGAGATTTTAGCCGAATCCAGCACTGAACTGGGAGAGATTCTGGAGCTGTTTTGTCAAATCATGCTTGCTGTGTGTTTTATAATTCTCTGGAACATAATTAATATTGAACTGTAAGCACTTCTGTCTTTGTGTCGTGTCCTTAGAAGCCCAAATACAGAAACAGACGAAGCTCTGTGGAAACAGCCGTGTTTAGACGCATTTTTTGCGTCATCTCTGCTATAACGTAAAGCCTGGTTTATACTTCTGCGTCAAGTGACCGGCGTAACTCACCTCGCAGGCAACGCGCGTAGCTGTGCATTTATACTTCTGCGCGCTGTCTCTGTTGGACTGCATTAACACTTCCGAATCGCTAGTTGGCAGTGAGGTGTAAATGTTCCTCTGTGTCGAGTTTCTTTGCTGCTGTTTTGCGTTTCCTGAACACTTCCTGGTTGTACAAGTGGCTCAAACTCGCTCATTTTGAGGCAGGAACCGGCGGACATGCAACATTGGGTTCGCGCCATTCGCGCGGCTCTCGGTCCCGACCCGACTCGTCAGCGCTACCAAGCCGACCAATCACAGAGCTTACGCTACGCGTTGTTGCAACGTGTAGTTACATTTTTTCAGAGGTGCACGTCATGCTATGACGAGAGGTGCTATGCGCCAGCACTGTAGCATACGCCGGTGTTTGATGCAGAAGTAGAAATCAGCCTTTACAGTGCTTCTGGCCACGCCCCTTACCTACATGCGCAGTGTGGGATGCGCAGTAAACGAACTTGTGATGTCACAGGGGGCGGAAGTATTTTTTTGTAGTCCCCAAAATTCGTTCATTGTAGGCTTTGCTAAGCTAACTCTGTAAAAACCAAGGTCACCCTTTGCATTGAACTTAGAACTTTTTACATTCAGAGATGTTGTTTATGTTCACACAGCTGCATTACACATCAACTAAAGTTTAAAACATGAGATCGTAGTGGACCACCCCTTTAATAATTTGGCAAATAATTTGATTACTGATGTCCATGTAAACACAGTCACTTTCTCCTGTGTGTGTGTGTGTGTGTGTGTGTGTGTGTGTGTGTGTGTGTGTAGACTCTGAAACTCAGCGCGTGGTCAAATAGACACTCCCACACCTTCCCTCTTTTGCTCCTCCGACACTCCCCCCTAAACAGAGCTGGACACGCCCACTTTTCTGTCTTTTTCCAAAGTAGAGGTGTGAAAACACCCTGCTGAAACGAGGGGGTTTCATGGCCCTTTAAAGGGAATGAGAGACGAGACTCTGATTGATTTATTCTCCAAACACACCTATATCTCATTAAGAGAATAAGCTCAACCCTGTTAGATAATGCGCCACGGCGCAAAGCGGATTTTTCCATCCTTAAAATAGCAAACGTGGATTATGACACGCCCTTAATGCGTTTGCGCCTTCGCTTTGCACTTTGTACATGGATCTTCAAAATAGAGCCCCAGTGCAGACTCATGTGCAGTGAGGAGATTGTAGCCAAATGTTGATTAAACCAGTTTTGAATCAGTTTGATTAGACAGCTGATTGTACAAGAAACAACCCTGAGTTTCAACAACAGATTATCTCTTGTGTCTATGTATGCCTCCATGGTTCAGCTTTTTACTGGTCGGAGATCAGCTCTTAATAGTTTAGTGCCGGCCTGACCCCTCTGGAAGCTTCTGTAGCCAAAATAAGTCTCTTGCGTTTGTGTGAAGCACACTTGGCAATAAAAATGAATCTGATTTTGATTCTGAAGTAATGAAAATTAGATATTTTTACCAGCTTTTGTTAAAGAGGGTCCTGTTTCTGTATTGAGCTTTGGTTGGGTAAACAATGAGTATATTTTTATTTTTAAAAGGAAAACAAAAATTTATTTAATATACTCAGCCTCAAACCTTTATTTATTTCTACTGTTAAACACAAAAGAAGATATTTGAAGAGAGATAAAAACCGGTAACCCTTGACTTGCATAGGAAAAAGAAATACCATGGAAGTCAGTGGTTTCTAGCTTTCTTTAAAATATCTTTCTTTGTGTTCAACAAAATAAAGAAACTCATAAAGGTTTGAAAAAGGTAAAAGGGTGGGTAAATGGTGACAGATTTTTTTTTTTTTTTTTTTTTTTTTTTGGGGTGAACCATCTCTTAAAGCCGACAAAGAGAGGGAACTATATGGATATGTAGTAACACGGAACAATTTAACTGATGCACAAAACATATGGTGCTAAAGCTGGCGGTGAGTAAATCAGCTTTCCCCGGATTTATTTTATGGCATACTAACTTAATTATATTTAAATTTCTTATTGACAAACGTAAGGAAAAATACTATTACGCTGGTAATCTGTATCATCCTAATTATTGACTGTTTTATACACGAAACTGACGACGGACAGTGCGTTAGTATTGATAGTCTGCAGTTAAATAGCAACCGCATTGCTAAACCCACCGGCTGTGAACTTGTTTTATCAATTTGTGTATGGAGAGTTACTTTACATCAGATTTTTACCAGTTTGTGAGTGTGTTTATTTTATTTTATTGGGGAAATTCAACTCATTCGCGTATGGAGCTCGAGTTTGATTCCCAAACGAATGATTCTTAAGAGTCGGTTCATTTTAGTGAATCAAAACAATCATCAGTAGCGGTTACTGGAAACAGATCGAACTCTGATGTTCCTGTTGATTACTTTCATCATATCCAACTTGAAATTGACCAGCTTATCTATATATTTACACATGATGAGAGTTTATTTCATGAGGAATATTACCATCTTCCCACAGCTGAAGAAGAAGCCAACAGGAGGAATTACTGCAGGGGAAACAACTGACATACAATAGTGAAGATGGAGATTAAGGAAGAACCCTGCAGAATAAAAGAGGAGGATGCAGAGGAACAAATAGGTTTGTATTTTTAATTAGTTTTTCTTTTTAATGACTGCTTAGGAACATTAATGTGAAAAATTACTTATAACAATACAAACCATATATTATATATGGGTAATTCTTCAACTATGGGGACTTTTATGTCCTTTGATCATCCAAAAATACAAATATTTTTGTTCAAATTCCTCTTTCCTTGTCAAACTAACAATAAAACCTACTTTTAAAACATTTACTACCTTTCTATCATATTATTTTCATATTATTCAACCTCCTTTTAGTTGTCAAAATCACTGTTTTCCACCTTGTCGCACACCCAGTTATAAACGTCAACAATGAAAATAACATTTTAAAATATTATTTATCTGGTATCTATTAATGTATCTTAATTAAGCACTAGTGAAATAAGTTAAATATTTTATAGTTATTAATGTGAGACTATTATCAATGTTATCTTTTATACAAAATATAGCTGTCGCACAGTATCAGTGTCATTTCCAGCACTGTAATGTAACTTTAAAAAGTTTGTGTGAGATTATTGAGGTGGTTTCTATGAAAATTAATAGTGATGTCTGAGAACATCTTCAAGATGGAGAGAATTTACATTTTTACCAGCAACACTTGAATAAAAATCAAGGTAAATATTGCTTGATAAAAAAAAATACATTTATTCTACGTCATTTACAAACATGTTGTACCTTATATATGTTTTTAAAAACCAAACCAAATGAAGGTAAATAAGAGTGTTTTGTGTGCATGAAAGGCTAGTTTCAATTCAAAGCTAATCGGTGAAGCTATCTTTATTTTTTTTTCACAATAAACTGTTGAAATGTCATTTCCACCACTGTCATTTCCATCACCACACACATTTTTAAACAGTATTAATAAAGAATATTTAAACAGTTCTCATCACACTAGGGCTGTGCAATTAATCGATTTTAAATTTGATTTTAGCATCTAATGATTATGAAAAACCATTAATCGAGATAAACGATTATTAACTTAGCAGCGCGAAAGACCGCATGCTTATGTGTGTGTGTGCATGCGGCGCGCACACACACATAAGCATGCGGTCAGCATTCAGTCTCATTCGCACACTGAGACGAGCAGAGCGCTGTCAGCGCACACATCTAAAGTAATCTTAACGTGAGCGCTTTAATGGTCAAATAGGTGTCAAAACGCGGTGTTTAGTGATAATTCATATCAACCCTCATTTGTGTAATAAATAAACGAGTTGAGAATCAAAAGACACGTGAAAGAGAAACCATTAAAGTGAAAGCGCGCGATGTTCCTGCTGCTGCCTGTTTTTATAATCAATCAAACAACAATACAAGAAAATCCCTCAGTGCTTTTGACTGAAGGACTTTTGTTGCTAAAGTGTTTTTCTTACAGTGAAGATGCTTAAAGCACAGTTTGTTTCATATTTTTATTCTACTATATTCATTTCTCTTTCCATTCGGGGGTGGAAAATAACTGTATATATGCAGTTAAACTCAGAATTATTAGCCCTCCTGAATATTAGCAGCAATTTTCCTCCCCAATGCTTTTTCATGGAAAGAAGATTTTTTTTCAACTTATTTCTGATCATAATATTTTTAATAATTTAATATAATTTCTAATAACTGATTTCTTTTATCTTTGCTCTGATGACAGCACATAATATTAGACTATTTTCAAAAAATAAGCATTCAGATTCAAAGTGCGATTCAAAGACTTAATTAGGTTAATTAGGCAAGTCATTGTATAACAGTAGATTCTTCTGCAGACCATCAAAAATATTTATTGCTTAAAGGGGCTAATAATATTGACCTTAAAATGGGTTTCAAAATATTTAAACCTGCTTTATTCTAGCTGAAATAAAAAAAAACAAATAAGCCTTTTCACAGAAGAAAAAAGGCGAGGCAGTGGCGCAGTAGGTAGTGCTGTCGCCTCACAGCAAGAAGGTCGCTGGGATGCTGGTTCGATCCTCGGCTCAGTTGGCGTTTCTGTGTGGAGTTTGCATGTTCTCCCTGCGTTCGCGTGTGTTTCCTCCGGGTGCTCCGGTTTCCCCCACAGTCCAAAGACATGCGGTACAAGTAAATTGGGTAGGCTAAATTGTCCGTATGTATGAGTATGTGTGTGTGTATGTGTGTGTGGATGTTTCCCAGAGATGGGTTGCGGCTGGAAGGGCATCCGCTGCGTAAAAACTTGCTGGATAAGTTGGCGGTTCATTCCGCTGTGGCGACCCCAGATTAATAAAGGGACTAAGCCGACAAGAAAATGAATGAATGACAGAAGAAAAAATATTATAGGAAATGCTGTTAAAATTCCTTGCTCTGTTAAACATGATTTGGGAAATATTTATTTAAAAAAAAAAATCTCAGGAGCGCTAGTAATTTTAACTTCAACTGATAATCGTTTTGAATAATCGTGATTACAATTATGACCAAAATAATTGTGAATAGGATTTGTCCCAAAATCGAGCATCCCTACATTACACATTAAACATGTATTCACAATGTATAAGTTTGTGCTCTATTTATTCAGTTTATTTATTTTCTAATAACCTCTTAACCGAATTAATATTCAATTTTAGAATGTGACCAGTGTACAATTCAGCATGCAACTCATTTATTTCATTGACAAATGTATAGTTATTATGTATACTGTGGAAAGATTGGTTAAACTAGATACAAAAATGATCTTAGACAGTGTTTAGCCCCTTTCACACATACAGGGAAAGGTTGTATGTGTGAACAGGTCCTTTTTGAAAATACCGGTAAATTCGTTCTGGCTATTTTCCGGAAAGAGAAGTTGTAACATTACCGGTAATTTGCCGGAATGCTGCGCTGTGTGAATGCAGAAGGAAGATTACCGTAATAAGCGCGTGCACGTCTAGAACGTGCTAACATGAGACGTCTGCTTTAACCAATCACAACAGTCAGACGCATTTACGTCCGCGCGGTTTGTGAGAATAAAAGCCTTTGAATTTTTTTCCAGACACATTTAGCTGCTAGAAGTTAGTCAGATCACGTTTATATGTTCTTCTTAATGCCAACTGTGCAAATAATCATCGATGAGATGCTTATGATAAGCCGTTGTTTGTTTACCTTCAAGCTTTGCGTGCACCTGTGAAACAGCCTGTGAGCGCCTGCACACACACATATTATGAACATCTCGACATGCGAAAGTGATCCTGTGAAAGTTGTTCACAATATTGATCATCCACAGAGTTTGTAATTTAGTCAAATGTTTACAAATACAAGCGCAGCCGTTTAAAGCTCATTTGTGGTGAATGATGTCAGAATTACCGGTATTTTGGAATGGATGTGTGAACGCTCTTTTCCGGAAAATTTCCGTAACGTCCTCGCCTGTGTGAACAGCGCTTTTTTGAATACACCGGTAAAGTCGTTCCGGAAATTTTCCAGATATTTACCGGTATCACTGTGTGAAAGGGGCTTTTGACTGCCATCATTCATTTCATTTTGATAAAAGCTGTATATTGAGATGTGCTGGAATTGACATTTCAGTTCACGATGGAAAAACTGTTCCTCTTCTTCTCATCTAAGTTTGTCCTTTGTTTAAACTTATGAGGCTGCTCTGTTAATTTTGAACACGTTTTTTTTACTCAACTTCACAAGGCTAAAAGTGCCCGTAGTTGAAGAATGGCCCTTATATTATGCTAAAACTATATTCCCTGTTTTGTTTCACATTTATACTTATTTAACACCTCTAATAAATTAATCGATTTTGGAATCAGTCAAACACCGCGGGTTTAATAAACCTAATCTTCTCACAGATGAATATGGAGATGCAGTCAGTTCACAGACTGAAGAAACCTTCAGACCAAAACAAGCTAGAAAAGCTGAAGCCAAAGGCCCGTTCATCTGCTGTGAGTGTGGAAAGGTCTTCCAAAAAAAATCGCATTTTAACAGCCACATGAGATTTCACACTGGGGAAGGACTGTTGACATGCACCGAATGTGGAAAGAGTTACACCGAGAAATCAAGGCTGGTTTCACACATGAGGGTTCACACTGGAGAGAGACCGTTTACCTGCTGTCAGTGTGGAAAGAGTTTCAGATATAAACACGCCCTCAAAGAGCATCTGCTCTCTCACATCAGAGGGAAGCCGTTAAGCTGTGATCAGTGCGATAAAACATTTGTTTATTCGTCAAACCTGAGCACACACCTGAAAGTCCACTCCGGACTGAAGCCTCACTGCTGCTCTTTTTGCGGAAAGAGTTTTTCACGACTGGAAAATTTAAGAATTCACAGCAACGTCCACACTGGAGACAAACCTTATGTGTGTTCAGACTGCGGGAAGAGCTTTACGTCGTCGGGCAACTTAAAAACACACCGGAGGATTCACACCGGAGAGAAACCGTATCAGTGCTCACACTGTGGGAAGAGTTTCACTTTTTCAGGAAGCCTGAAACATCATGAGAAAATTCACACTGGAGAACAGCAATATTAGGCATGTTCTTGTGCAGGGTCTAAAATGTAAAAATCCAAATTTTAGACCTTAAAAAGTCTTAAATTGGCTGTTCTAGGTCTTCTAGGTAATTCTTTTTTGTTATTGTTGCTTGGTTTTCGTGGTGTTGTAGTTCTTTATATCACTAGTCCAAATGTAATTTGTGGTATTACAACTAAAAATGAGACCAACATGCAATAGCCAATCAGCTTTCTGTTATTGAACTCGGCGTGTGCGGCAATTGTTGCGTCATCACTCTGTTTGCGGTGGTTTGCTTTGGGTGCGCGCGACATGATTTCAGCTGGCGAAGCGCACTAAATTTTTTGAGACTTGAGCGAATGTTCGTGTGGTGCCAAGTTTCATTTGAGTTCGATATGACTCACTTTAAAGAGAATGTGTCTGAAACAGGTAAGACAGGTGCGTTATCATAGGAAAAACCCAATGAACAATAATTATTGGATAGAAATTGCAACAGCTGTGGGAAAGGAGGAAAGTTTTTGTTAAAAAGTTGACCTGAGGGATAAGATTGTTAAAACTAAAAGAGGTCAAGGCAAAAGTTGATAACTGGAAATATTTGAACCTATTGGTTTACAAGATACTGATGCTCTGTTTTTCTAGGCTTTATTGATGATGATGGTCAGGAATGTTGGACCATTATTGCCTTTTTGGCTTATAAGTAGAGCACAGAAACTAGCCAGACAGTAATGTGTGAATTGTTGAGTGGGCAAAAAAAGACGAAAAAAACCCATCTGTACTGTAAAAGAAAATCCGTAATTTTATGGTTTATTTTCGGCAGCTGGGGTGCCGGGAAATTTTTTTTAAATAATGGCTGTTAAATTACAGAAATTTACTGTAAAATAACAAACATTATATTACAGAATTATATTACAGATATTTACTAGAAAATAAAATTTAGAAAAAAATCTGTAATTTATTTGTTATTTTACTGTAAATTTCTGTAATTTAATATCCATTATTTTACGGTATATCTCTGTAAATAATATGCGCTATTTTACGGTAAATATCTGTATTTAACATCCATTATTTTACGGTAATATTCTACAATGTAATATCTTTTATTTTGCGGTAAATTTCTTCAATTTAATATCAGTTATTTTACGGTAAATTTCTGTAATTGAATATCCGTTATTTTACGGTAAATTTCTGTAATTTAATATCTGTTATTTAACGCTAAATTTCTTACATTTAATATCCGTTATTTTACACTAAATTTCTTCAATTTAATATCCGTTATTTTACACTAAATTTCTTCAATTTAATATCCGTTATTTTACGGTAAATTTCTGCTGTGTAATATCTTTTACGCTAAATTTCTGAAATTTAATATCCGTTATTTTACGCCAAATTTCTGTTATTTAATATCTGTTATGTTACGGTAAATTTCTGATATTTAATATCCGTTATTTTGCTGTAAATTTTTGCAATTTAACGGCCGTTATTTTACGGTAAATTTCTGTAATTTAATATCCGCTATTTTACGGTAAATTTCTGTTATTTAATATCTGTCATTTTAATGTAACTTTCTGTATTTAATATCCATTATTTTATGTAAATTTCTGTAATTTAATATCTGCTATTTTATGGTAAATTTCTCAAATGTTTAATATCCGTTATTTTACACCAAATTTCTGCAATTTAATATCCGTTATTTTGCTGTAAATCTCTGTAATTTAGCGGCCGTTATTTTATGGTAAATTTCTGTAATTTAATATCCACTATTTTACGGTAAATTTCTGTAATTGACAGGTCGTTATTTTGTCTTTTTTCCGGCACCCCAGCTACCGTAAATAAACCGTAAAATTACAGATTTTTTTACAGTGTACTTCTTTGTTGCTTTTGTTCTTTTCATATCAAAAATGTAATTGTAGAGCAGCCCATGTTCTTTAGTCATTAATATTTAACTTTAATAGGTAGAACTGTCCGAGATATGAACAAAAGCAAGTGATGCATAAAAGTTTGATTTAATAAATTTTAACTGATTATACAAATCTTTATAATCATTATGATAAATTTAAAAAAATGTATAAAAAATAGTTAGTTTAAAAATCTTGAACAATATTAATGATATTACGTAGTTCCGTAAACATCCTTTTTCTCAGTTTATCCGTCTGACTTTACAGTGGCTTTCTTTTGACGGCTGCTGTCATTTAAAAGAGCCTCGTCCGTTTAAGGTGCACATGGAGTCAGCGGAGGTGTGCGATGCATAAATAGTGTAAATCAGCCTTTAGATGTGTGTTTGTTTTTGTCCTGTAGTTCAATGCTGGATCTAACCTGTCTTCAGAACTGTTCAATCTGAATACATTTATTTGCCACTTATTTTGTGATTTAGCATTTTCTTTTTCTGTGTATGCGTGTTTTTACATTGTGATATAGGTCTTAAATTTAATCCCTAATAGTCTTAAAAAGTCTTGAATTTGACATTTATGATATCTGCAGAAACCCTGTTGTGTCAAGATCTCTATTTAATCTAATGGAGCCTTTTCACTTTTTTAGCATCAGAAGTCGTCATAGTTGGTAAACTCAGAGCGCAGTGAATGGGAGAGTACAACAAATCATTATTCTACGCTACTATTTGCTGAAAAAATAACAGAAAAACTCCACGATGGTGCTATCAAGACTTTCAGAAAGAGGGAAACACTGATAACGGTAGCCAGAAAAGAGAATACTGTGATTTACTGTCTTCCCCAATACACACTGCATAGGAAATGTTTCTGTTACAGCTATGTTGAACTTTTGCATATGAATAAATGTTTATTAAGATGTCTGGTGGTCATTTGTGTCTCCAGCAGAGATGGTTGCTGAATGTAGAGAGGTGATGCATGTTTAAATGCATACTGTTGCCAGAGGATATGTTTCTGTTACAGAATAAACAACGCTTAACGCAGTTCTCTGTGTCTGCCTGAGGGATTTCAATGATCAGCAGTAGAGAAGCGTTACATTGGTGCCGTGACCGGGATAAAAGTGGGGACTTTAGACCAGTGGTTCTCAAACTTTTGTTCACTAATACCACCTCAGAATTATTTTTTTTTATCTTTAAGTACCACCATAATGACCATATTGAAAAACAGTAGCGTAGTGGGTATAATTAAGCAGCTACAGCACTGCACAGTTCAAAAACAAGGCAGATTAACTTCTAATATCATGAATATTTACATTTAGTCATTTAGCAGACGCTTTTTCCAAAGCGACTTACAAATGAGGACAAGGAAGCAATTTACACAACTATAAGAGCAACAATGAATAAGTGCTATAGGCAAGTATAAAACATTAGTAATTTATTTATTTTTTATTTTATTTTTTTGTAGTTAGTGGTGGAGCCACAATTGCAGATTAGGAAAGAAAGTGGAGACTAAATAGTTGAGTTTTTAGTCGTTTCTTGAAAATAGCGAGTGACTCTGCCGTTCTGATGCAGTTAGGGAGTTCATTCCACCAACTGGGCAGATTGAATGCGAGAGTTCGAGAAAGTGATTTCATCCCTCTTTGGGATGGAACAACGAGGCGACGTTCATTCACAGAACGCAAGTTTCTGGAGGGCACATACATCTGCAGAAGTGAGAGCAGATAAGGAGCAGCAAAACCAGAAGTCGCTTTGTAAGCAAACATCAGAGCTTTAAATTTGATGCGAGCAGCAACTGGCAGCCAGTGCAAACGGATGAGCAGCGGAGTGACATGTGCTCTTTTAGGTTCATTAATGACCACTCGTGCTGCTGCAGTCTGAAGCAGCTGAAGAGGTTTGATAGAGTTAACTGGAAGCCCGGCGAGTAGAGAGTTGCAATAGTCCAGTCTGGAGAGAACAAGAGCTTGAACAATGAGTTTAGCTGCATGTTCAGATAGGAAGGGTCGGACCTTTCTGATGTTATAGAGTGCGAATCTGCAAGATCGAGCAGTTCTAGAAATGTGGTCAGTGAAGTTTAGTTGGTCATCAATCGTTACTCCAAGGCTTTTCACCATTTTGGATGCAGTAATGGTTGCCCCATCCATCTGGATTGAAAAGTTATGGTGTAGAGTCGGGTTGGCAGAAACTTCAAGCATTTCTGTTTTCGCGAGGTTAAGCTGAAGATGATGATCTTTCATCCAGTGTGAAATGTATGACAGGCAGGCTGAGATGCGAGCTGGAACCGAGGGATCATCAGGGTGAAAAGAGAGGTATAGCTGGGTATCATCAGCATAGCAGTGGTAGGAGAATCCATGTTTCTGGATGACTGATCCTAATGGAGAAGAGAAGTGGTCCAAGAACAGAGCCTTGAGGTACCCCAGTGTTTAGATGCTGTTGGTTGGACACCTCTCCCCTCCATGACACCCTGAATGACCTGTCAGAGAGGTAAGATCTGAAAAAAAAAAACAGCCTGAAAAAACCCTGTACTGTGCTTACAGGTAAAAATAAATGAAACGTCAACATTTAAATTAAAATGTGCTTTTAAAATAATAAATAATTAAAATGGCACAAATTAAAAAAAAAAACGGCAGTACTTAAATGTAAAGTATTTTCATAAAGTAGTCTATTCATCAAAACCTGAATATCTCTGAAAACCTCAATACCTCATAAATAGGCTATATGTCATCATATTCATAAATAATCTCTTTTTGATAATTTTTTAAATATATGATGCATGTATACATGGCTTATTTGTATATCTTTGAAATCTAAACATTAACTTGTATTTTAGATATATTAATTTAAATATTTAATTTAGATATTAGATCTGCTTACTGCACATTAGAGTAGGCTATTTGTGTCAGAAAAGCAAGTCATTAAACTTTACCTGTCAACATGGGATATAAAAATAAGGGGTACGCCCCAACAACTGTTACAAATATGGGGAGGAAATTAGCTTCAAATGACAGATATACGGTTATCGTATACATCAAAGGGTTAAAGGTGTGTTAATTTCTTTTTACTTTAATTATTATATTTTACTTTGATTGCTCCGGGTACCACTAAGTAAGCCTGCGTACCATTAGTGCAGGGGTGGCCAACCCTGTTCCTGGAGAGCCGCATTCCTGCAGATTTCATTTGCTACCCATATCAAACACACCTGAACCAATTAATTAGGACCTGAACACCACGTGATAATTACAGGCAGGTGTGTTTAATAAGGGTTGCAACTGAAATCTGCAGGAAGGTGGCTCTCCAGGAACAGGGTTGGCCACCCCTGCTTAGTGGTACACGTACCACAGTTTGAGAATCACTGATTTAGATTAATAGTCAATAAACTTAAATGGCTGACTTCTAAATGAACTACAGCTACTTTTATTTTTCACACTTAAATATTTTGTTTTATATAAGCTAAACTAATAACATAGAACTTTTCTCTTTACTCTTATTTCTGACTTCTGTATAATAATGTGGATCAGGTTCTTTTGCTTGGATACAGCTACAGCTGGAAGTTATGATAATTTTTTTGTATTATTTATTATTAAATTATTAATTTATTATATTTTATTGACGTCTACCCCTACCCAACCCTCACAGTGATGTAAAAATGGTAGTTATACAGAGTATTATTCATAATATTTATGAAATTACCCATTAAATTGTATTTTATTAGCACCTACCCTTAGCCCAACTTTAACCCAACCATCACAGTAATGTTAAAACAGTAATTATACAGTGCTATTAATATTAATTATTAAACTACACATTAAATTGTATTTTATTAGCACATACCTTACTCCAACCCTAACCCAACCCTCACAGTAATG